TAAACATCACCCATAAGTTATTTGGTCAAAGAGGAAAATAATAAAATAAGTAAATAAAAATAAACTGATTTTGTTTAGTTAAAAAAATAATATACTTCATAACAAAATTATAAGAATGCATATAAAATTATTATTAAAGCTTGTTTTTTTAAAAAAAAAAACTTGCTTTAAAATAAAAAAAAAGCCAGTACTATAGACAAGTGTATCTCAAGACCACTCCACAGTTTTTTTTTGGGGGGGGGGTGAGGGGCAAAGGGAGAGGGAGAGAGAATTTTTTTAAAAGGCTTTTTTTATTTATTTGAGAAAGATCAAGGGAAAGAGAGCAAGCATAAGCAGGAAGAAGGGGCAGAGGGAGACGTAGGCTTCCCACTGAGCAAGGAACCTGATTCAATGTGATGTGAGGCTGGATCTCAGGACCCTGGGATCGTGATCCAAGCTGAAGGCAGACACTTAACTGATAGAGCCACCCAGGTGCCCCAAAACCCCTTCATTGTCTTTTTTTTTAAGATTTATTTATTTATTTATGATAGACACAGAGAGGAGAGAGAGAGGCAGAGACACAGGCAGAGGGAGAAGCAGACTCCATGCAGGGAGCCCGAAGCAGGACTCGATCCCAGGACTCCAGGATCGTGCCCTGGGCCAAAGGCAGGCGCCAAACCGCTGAGCCACCCAGGGATCCCCAACCCCTTCATAGTCTTAAAAATAATTGAGGACCCCAGTTTTTATGTTATGAGGGTTCTATCGATATTTGCCATATTAAGAATGAAAACAGAAAAAAATAATATTTAATTTTTAAAAATAAATCCACTTAAAAATAAAAATAAAGCCATTATATGTTAACAATATGTTATAGGCTGAATTGTGTCCCCTGGAAATTCATGTGTTTAAGTCCTAACTCCATAGCTCAGGATGTGACCTTATTTTGAGATAGGATCTCCACAGAGGTAATTAAGTTAAACTGAGGTCACTATGGTGAACCCTGCTCCAATACGATGGATGTCTTTATAAAAAGAAGAGAATTGGAGACAGACATGAACACAGGGAGCAGTCACATAAAGATGAAGGCAGAGATCCACAGGCCAAGGGATGCCAAGGATTTCCAGGAACCACCAGAAGCTGAGAAAAGTGAGAGAGCAGTATCTCTCTCAGATCCTCTGAAGGACCAAACCACATCAAAACCTTGATCTTGGACTGCCAGACTCCATAATTGAGACAATAAATTTCTGTTCTTTAAGTCACCCGGTTTGTGGTACTTCATTATGGCAGACCTAACAAATGAATACACCACTTTTTTTTTAACCCTACTTTATGTAAAATAACTACATTTCCAAAACAAATAAATATTAGTGAAAAGACTAGCGTTGGGCAGCCTAGGTGGCTCAGCGGTTTAGTGCTGCCTTCAGTCAGGGGCGTCATCCTGGAGACCTGAGACTGAGTCCCACTGGAGTCTGACGTCAGGCTCCCTGCATGGAGCCGGCTTCTCCCTCTGCCTGTGTCTCTGCCCCTTTCTCTCTCTCTCTCTCTCTCTCTCTCTCTCTGTGTGTGTCTCTCATGAATAAATAAATAAAATCTTAAAAAAAAGAGTAGCGTTGCATTATATTTTTATAAATCTCCTTAATGTCTGGCTTGATGAAAAGCACGTGATTTCCAAAGCTGCTTGTGTCCTTGAGAACTGCAGAGCTCTCAGCACTGGAGAACTCAGTCCAAACCTCTGCACTGAGAGAGAACCAAACACTAGCAAAGCTTCTAGCAGCATAATGCTGTGTCCCTAGAAGGACACCAGCCTCCCATTAAAATGCCTGCTTAATGCCTCCCTGAGAAATGCTGCCAGGAGAAATTGCTGTTTGTTCTAACGAACACCCAAGGATAGACTCCTGACCTCCCCTTCCCTTTTTTTTCCCTAAAAACTGTAGGATTTTTTATTCAGTTAAGAGGTAGACAGATGAACATGGAAGGCTGTCCTGTTTAACTTGTCCAAAGTTCATATTCCACTCCATTCATCCATCCCACCCTGTCAGAACTCTTAAAGAAATAACCCAGACTGCCAGAAGGCTTTTTCTTCCTACTTCTTTTTAGTAATAATAGTCAATGAATTGCTTGCAAAGAAGTTACTACTAACTTAAATTTTCACTGTGTCCAAAGAACCTCCTGACCTCCCTTTCTTACAGCATTTACTAAAAAGACTTTAGGGGGGATCCCTGGGTGGCGCAGCGGTTTGGCGCCTGCCTTTGGCTCAGGGCGCGATCCTGGAGACCCAGGATCGAATCCCATATCGGGCTCCCGGTGCATGGAGCCTGCTTCTCCCTCTGCCTATGTCTCTGCCTCTCTCTCTCTCTGTGTGTGACTATCATAAATAAATAAATTAAAAAAAAAGAAAAAAAAATAAAAAAAAAATAAAAATAAAAAGACTTTAGAATTGTGAATTCTTTTTCTGTCTCTTTGAGACGTCTGTGTATATCCTACAACTCAGAAGGATCTTTCTCAAGGACCTGAAAGCCATTCCTTTGAAATACTATTGACAGGAAGGAGAGGGCTCCTGTCTCCAGTCTCTGAGGGAAGATAGAATCCTAACTTCGATAATTACCAGCTGGTGGCACGGCTGGCTTAATCATATATACACTGACCAACACTTAGTAATTTTCCACGGGTCCTGCTCTGTCCCCCTTCTGATTCTTTCATTCTTCTTTAAAAGGTCCAGTCACCTCTCCACAAATGCAAATGAAGTTCAGTGCTTTCCCCTACTGTCAGCAGTTATTGAATAAAATTTGTTTTCACCATGTTAACTAATGTCCGTTGTGTTTACCTTTAACATTTTCATTCTGTTGCAATATTACTCATCTGGAAGCCTACGGAAAACTCTACTTTCATGAGAGAAGGGGGTGGGGGCGTGAAGTCACCGACTGGTAGGAAGGGTCTCAGGAAACTCCAGGTATCCCTGGCCACACTTTGAGAACTATTGCAATAGACAAACCCCTATAATATAATAAGGAGAAAACAAAATACAAGTAATAGAAAATTAAAAATTAAAACAATAGGGAAACATTATGCATTAAAGATCCAGCACCATTAGAACCAAGAGGAAAGCTAAACCCAGTTACTCATTCCATATAAATACCCGGGGCTGTTCCTACGAAAATAATAGACCCAACCCCCCCTCCCCCTTTCCCACCCTTTGGGGGTCTGCTGCCAAGGGGAAGGCAATAGTTCCTCCTGGGACCTTCTCTGCCCACCGAGAAAGGAATACTGCCTGGAAATTGTTTTGGTACCCATTAGCGGCCAAATTCAGTGCGGGTTTCTTGATTCCCAATGCAGCCACTGACACCTGCTCAAGTGAATGAAGATGCTTTGACCAATGCGCGTCCTGGGACCGCTGCGCTTGTCACGCTGAGCGGTGGGCGGGGTGTCCAGGGGAAATGTCCCGCAGAGAGCGGACTGGTTGCTGTCCTGGGGGGTGGGGGGGGGGAGGGCCAGGAGAGGCAGAGAAGAGAGGACAGTGATGGGCGAGTGTGACTTTGCCAGCTGCTCTATCCCAGCCAATGACCACTTATTGATAGATGTATCATGTTTCTCATTTATTTTCTGTCCCTCTTCACTACACCGTCAACCCCTTGGGGGCAGCTATCTCTTCTCTGTGCTCGGTTTCTAGCACAAATAAATAGTGAAATATTTGCTACGGTTCGATTGTTTCTATTTTTTAAAAAAGATTTATCTATTTATATGAGAGTCACAGACTGAGACAGAGAGGCAGAGACACACGCAGGGGGAGAAGCAGGCTCCTCGCAGGGAACCCGATACGGGACTCGATCCCGGATCCCGGGATCACGACCTGAGCCGAAGGTAGTCGCCCAACCGCTGAGCCACCCAGGCGTCCCTCTCTCTTCTTTATTAATAAAAATTGTAATGGACCCTAAAAGACCCACAGAAATGACACATCGCAAAGGAAACATCCCAAATCGAGAAAGAGAACACAATCAGCATTAGAAGCCGCGCCTGCCCCCTTCCGGTCACTAAGCCCCCATATCCATGATATTAACAAAACGTTTACATGCTCGTGTAATTTTGACGCCTAGAAATAGGTTTTAAGTACAAAGGCTGTATATACTCCGAAGAGTAAAGCATGGCCAGCTAGGACGCCCAGGCCCGGGTTTCCAAGCAGGGCAGCCCCTCCTGCGAGGGCAAGCTGGCATCTCAACGCGGGAGCCACCGCCACGGAACGCGGGCGCCTGCGGGCCATCCCGGCGCCGCGGCCGCGCGCAGCCGCGAACCCCCAGCTGCTGGGGGAGGACGATTCCCCACAGCCTCATCCCTTCGCAGCTCGTCGGCGCTCCCCTTCGTCCCGGGCACGGAGACACCCAGTTGCCCAGTACCTGGGAGAGCACCGCCCGCAGCTGCCCACCCAGCACCGCCTAGCCGGGTCTGCTGCAGGAGCGCCCCCAGTGGCCGGAGGCCAGACTGCTGGACGGTCCCATTGGCCCGAAGCCAGAAGGCTCTCATTGGTGGAAGGCTCGACAGATAAAAGCTTCCATTGGTCAGGCCCTGCAGCGCGCCGCACGGTCTTCTGGGAGTTGTAGTCGCAGCGTCACCAGCGCGGCCGCCATTGTCCGGCGGGCGGCGAGTGGAGTGATCCTTGAGGCTGGGGCTGCTATAGTGTTTACGGCCATTGCGGGCTCCTGTCCTCGACCTGTCGGTCCAGGATGAACCCCGAAGAGGAACCGACTGCACTGGCGATGGCTACGGGGCTGCCAGCGGAATGGCTTCAGGTAACAATAATAATAATGATGGCAGCGGGCCGAGCGACTCCCACAGGTATTGAGCCTTTAAGCCTTCCCTGCTCCCTGAAGGCCGCCTGCTGTGTGATGGCTCACAGTAACTGGTGTCAGTGGAGCGCCGAGATGACAATATTAACAGAATAGAAATGCTCTAATTCACGGAGTCAGCAAACACCCACCGAGAGCCTTCCATCGCGTGCCCCCTGGCCCAACCTGAGGGTAAGGACTGGTCACCACGCACCGCATTAGTGTGGCGGGAGCGACTACCGGGGGCGCTGTGGGGCCCACTAGAACCCAGGGTGGTCCCTGCTTGCAAGGCCACCTGAGCAGGTGCCTGATTCAAAGCTCGGCAATTCTAGACTATGGTCTCCATAAAATGCTATCTCCATGTGGCAGGAACCAAAAATAATTCATAATTCCTGAAGGCCACGTCTTTGAAATTTTGCACATACAGTCTTTTGTTGTTTACAAGGATTTGCATTATTTTAGATTGATAACCTTCAATTTGCATGTTTTCAGATAGTGTTATTGCAGATTTATTTTAAGATTTTATTTATTTATTCATGAGAGAGGCAGAGCAGAGGGAGAAGCAGGCTCCATGCAGGGAGCCTGATGGGGGACTCCAGCCGGGACTCCAGGATCACGCCCTAGGCCGAAGGCAGGCACTAAACCGCTGAGCCACCCAGGGATAGCAGATTTCCATTAAATGTAACCACGCTTTAGTTTGCTTTTACTGTGGATGGGTGGGGCAGGAATGAGCCTTGTCAAAGTAAAACAGAGATGGATACTAATAAAAGCAGTTAAGATATATATTTTTTAAGATTTTTATTTATTTATTCACGAGAGACACAAAGAGAGAGGAGGAGACAGGCAGAGGGAGAAGCAGGCTCCATGCAGGGAGTCGGGTGTGGGATCAGATCCTGGGACTTCAGGATCACGCCCTGGGCCAAAGGCAGGCGCTAAACCACTGAGCCACCCAGGGATCCCCTCAGTCAAGATATTTTATTCAGAACCTTTTGGAATAGGAGAAAGAGACTTCATTACAGAATTGGACTCAATTCCAAATACAACAAGTAAAAGTGGGAATTTATACCTGGGGTTAGGGGTGGGTGTAATTCTTGCTAAACTAACAGGATCCTTTTATTTATTTTTTATTATTATTATTTTTTTATTTTAGAGAGAGCACAAGTGGAGGGAGATAGAGAGGGAAAGAATCTCCAACGGACTCCATGCTGAGCACAGAGCCCAGTGTGGGGCTTGATATCATGACCCTGAGGTCATGACCTGAACCAAAACCAAGAGTTGGATGGATGCTTAACTGACTGAGCCACCCAGGTGCCCAATGACCTAACAGGATTCTTACTGAAGTAGGCCAAGTGATCAGATAATGCCTGGAGGACTGTGGGAGATGAGGACTTTGAAAAGATGTGAGAGTGATCAGATATGGTGGGTGGGGATTTTGATTATACCAATTCTTTATGAATCTAAGTAATGCAAAATGGACACAGAAGCCTAGAGATTAAAAAAAAACAAAACAAAAAAACCCCAAAAAACAAAGAAGCCTAGAGATCAGGGCCTAGTTGAGAAGAGGGTTCAGAGGAGCCATACTCTCTCAAGGAGAGAGTCTTTGTCAACAGTAAGAGAAAGTTTATTATCTGTTGCTGTGTAACAACCCAGAACTTAGTGGCATAAAGCAACGATAAATATTACTTCAGTTTCTGATGACAGGAATCCTTGAATGATTTAGCTAGGGGTTCTGGCCTGGGCATGAAATTATGATTAATATGTCAATCTGGATTGTTGTCATATGGGACTTGAGTAGAGCTAAAAGATCCACCTCAGAGATGGCTAACTCATTGCCCATTTGGGCCTCTGTGTGGAGCTGCTTGGCTGGCCTCACAACTTGTCATCTGGCTTTCCAAAGAGTGAGTGATCCAGGAGAGGGCAAGGTAGAAGCCCCAATGCGTTTTGTGCTCTGGGGTCGGAATTTATGCACTGTCATTTGCACAGTATCTATTGGTTACACAAGTCGAACCTGCACAGAATAGGAGGGGACTACACAACTAGACAAGGGCTGGGAGTCATTGGGGGTTGTCTTGGAGGCTGGCCACCACATAAGGCAAGGGAGTAGAGGGCGTTGAGGTCTAGTGTAAGCTCCCTGTGGCTACTATAACAGGACCACATATTTGGTGGCTTAAAGCAATGCACATTTATTCTTACAGTTCTGGGGGTAAGAAATCTGAAATCATTTTCACTGGACTGAAATCAAGATGTTGGCAGAGCCACCCTTCCTGTGGAGGAACTAGGGGAGAATTGGTTTCCTTACCTTTTCTAGCTATTATAGCTGTAGACTGTGTATTCTTTGGCTAATGGCCCTTTGTCAATCTTCAAAGCCAGCAGTATGGCATCTTGCTTTAGTGGTCACATTGCCTTTTGTAGTCTATAGTTAAGTCTCCCTCCACCCTTCCCTTAGAAGGACATTTGTGATTGCATGTAGGGCCCACCTGATTTCCCCATCTTAAAATCCTTAATCACATTCACATTCCATTTATGGAACATTCACTGGTTCCAGAAACTAGGACCTGGGTATCTTTGGAGACCATTATTCAGTCAGCTATATCCAGGCTGAAAGAGGTCATCCTGATAGAAAGATGAGACATTCAAATTTTTTAAAGCAAGATGACTTGAGTTTGAAAAAAAAAAAATCATTCAGGCATGTAGGGGGTCAGGGTAGGAGAAATACTGAGAGCTAACTAGGATGTGGTGGGGGAGGTGGGTAGTGACCAGGTGCTGGCTCATGCTAGTGTGGTTTGGTCAGCCGTGGGAGAGTGTAAAGTAAAGGAGCCTGACAGCCCATACCTCTATGCACCAATAGTGAAGAGCAAGAGGAGTGCTACAGGGGTCTGAGGTGAAGCAGCAGAGAGGGCCATGAAAAAGCAAGGAATGTTGGGCATCTGGGTGACTCAGTTGGTTAGGCTTCTGACTTTTAGCTCAGGTCATGATATCAGGTTCCTGGGATCTAGCCACATGTCAGGCTATACTCTGAGCAGGAAGTCTGCTTCTCTCTTTCTGGCCCCCACAACATCCTCACACTCTTTCTCAGGTAAATAAATAATCTAAAAAAAAAAAGAAAAGAAAAAAAGGCAAGGAATGGTCTCCTGCTAGAATTTCAAGAGGAGACATGAAGTACTCGTGTACTCAGTGGACTCAATGCCTGGGCTGTCACTGACAATCCATGCAGGGTGGGTGATGGTTGAAGGGGCAGAGTGGGGGAGGCAGGAGGTACAGGGAGCGTGTATCAAGGTTTGAGGACCTTCTGAGTGGGAGGTGAGGACATGGGGACAGGAACAGAGTCCTCTGTTCCCAACCAAAGGGTTCTTCATACCTCCTGCACAACTTTTGTCAGAGCCATATGCCACCTATACTATGATTTCTTTAATATTTTAAAGTCTACTTGTGTTTTTCTTAAAAGAAAATACCCCTTGGCTAATGATACTTAGCATCTTTTCATGTGCTTATTCGATATTGGTATATTTTATATTTTCTTTGAAGAAATACCTATTTAAATCCTTTGCTCATTTTAACTGGGTTGTTGCTATTATTGAGTTGTAAGAGGTATGTTTTCCAGATACAAGTCACTTATCAGATGTGTGATTTGCTATTGTTATCTCCCAATATGTAGATGTCTTTTCACTTATTTTTTTTCCATTTCACTTTATTGATAGTGTCCTTTGGAGCACAAAAGTTTTTAATTTTGATGAAATCCAACTTATTTTTCCTTTCATTGCTTGTGTTTTTGCTGTCATATCTAAGAATCATTTGCCAATCCAAGATTGTGAAGATTTATCACTATGCTTTCTTCTAAGGGTTTCATAGTTTTAGCTCTTATATTTTGTTTTTTATCCATTTTGAGTTAACTTTTTATTTGGTGAGGTAGGGGACCAACTTTATTCTTTCGCATGTTGTCCTGTAGAAAGTGTTTTACAGCCACTTATTCCCCATCACAGCCCCCAAGAAGTGATTCTTTGTAGACAAGAAAACAAGGAAGTAGAAATAAGTACCTGCTCAAGTATACTTCTTGAGGAAGAAGTGGCAGAGTCAAAACTCAGAGTTCAGAAATATCTAGTTTTTGACAGTGGCTACACCCAGCCCACAGAAGGGTTTGATTTGTGGGACATGTTTTAGATACATTACATCAACTTATAAAAATTTAAAATGGTCAGTTAAAAATTTGAACAAATTTTCAGCTACTCACTAGAAATTCTACTCACTAGAAATCATATGAAGCTTATATTTCCCCATGTTCAGTTGGTTCTGAGTCTCAGCTGCCCCTTCAGACAGGGCTTATATTACCTGTCACCTTCAGTGTCACCTCTCAAAAATTAAGTACCCTTGTAGGCTCTTAAAGTAGCCCATTTCAGTCACTAATGAGCCTGCCCGGTCCCTGAAAAGGTAGGTGAGTTTCTGACTCCCAACTGTAAACCTCTCTTTTCAGGGAGTCCAATAAACCTTTCTTTGAATGAATCAGAGGTTTATTTAGCGTATCATTTAGATGTTACTGTGTAACAAACTGTCCCGAAATTTAGTGGCTTAAACCAGTAGCCATTTCTTTAGCCCACAGATCTGCACCTGTCTAAGATCAGTTGTAGATCAGCTGCAATTAGTTTTGATCTTGCTTGGATACTTTCACATGCCCCCAGTGAGACCTGACTCCTACTACTCAGAAAATGCACTCTCTCAGGACACTGGCCTACCTGTCCTCTGCTTTTCCATTCCTCCTCCTCTTCCTGAGAGCACTGACAGAGACAGTCAAGCTGTCAAGAGTGTGTGTGATGTTTCAGGAGCCAGTGACTTTCCGGGATGTGGCTGTGGACTTCACCCAGGAAGAGTGGGGGCAGCTGGGCCCTGCCCAGAGGACCCTATACCGTGATGTGATGCTGGAGACCTTTGGGCATCTGCTCTCTCTGGGTAAGGCCTGCTTCCCAAGCTGATGATCAGTCTCCTACAGTGACTTATTCTTGATGGGTTTTAAGTCATAGGGCCTCTGATATGAGGACTTGACCTTGGGGTGGGGATCAGAGATCTTGCATTCTCACTCCCTTGTGGAACAAATGGGCAGGGGGTTTTCTACCCTTTTCTGTCCCAGTGCAAAGGTTTCACCTTATTGTTAGATGTCCTTGTGCCCTATCAGGAGTCTAGGGCTGGATCTTGAGCTGGTTCTTTCTCTCTATAGCAGATCTGCACATCCTGTGTCTTTCCCTTTTTCCAGGGCCTGAGCTTCCAAAACCTGAAGTCATCTCCCAGCTGGAGCAAGGGGCTGAGCTATGGGCAGCAGAGAGAGAAATTGCCCAGGGCTACTGTCCAGGTGAGAAGCTGCCAAATGGGAACCGCTAATGGGAACAGCTCAAGAGGTGACTACAGATATGCTGATTGGAAAGGGTGGTGTGTCAATGTCCCAAGACCACCCAAAGATCCAGTGATTACAGAGAGAAAGAATATAGAGAAAAGTCAGTCAGCAAGGAGAAAAGGCAGATGGGATAAAGTCCAGAAACCAAGATTATAGAGTTTTCCAGTAGAATCATATGGGACATGCTTAGGTCCCCCAGCAGTAAGTTGTGACAATACATGAGAAATCTTAGCTACTCGGGAAGCTTATTAGAGGCTCAGTGCCAGGGGGTTTCACTGGGGGGCTGGTCATAGGCTGTGCCTGGCATAGACCAAGATTCCAGACTCCCAGGAGAAAGCGGGTATTAACCATAAACCATATTGTTGGCACAGTTTGGGTATAGTGAGCCACTCATCACGGTGGTGGGAATACCCCTAAAACCCAAATTCTCACACCTAGCTGAGGGCCAATCTCGAAAGCTGGTCCTTCTAAGGATGGAAGGATGGTAGCCTCGGGCCTGCTCTGTTAGCTGTTTTCTGCACAGAACGTCTGTGCTCTGCTCCTGTACTCCCTGTTTTCCTCATCCATGCTCCCCATCTGCTTTTCTCCAGTGGTAAGAATACCACTTCTTCCTCCCTCTCATGTTCTCTCTCACCAGTCATTGAGTGGGCCCTTTCCACAGGCTCATTTTTCTTTTTCTTTTTCTTTTTCCTTTTTTTTTTTTTAAGATTTCATATTTATTTATTTGAGAGAGAGAAAGAGGGAGAAGCAGGCAGGGCACCGAACATGGGGCTCAATCCCAGGACCCTGGGATCACAATCCGAGCCAAAGGCAGACGCTTAACTGACTGAGCCATCCCGGCACCCTTCTTTTTTTTCAAGATGTTATTTAAGTAGTCTCTACACTTGATGTAGGGCTTGAACTAACAACCCTGAGATCAAGAGTCACATGCTCTACAGACTGGGCCAGCCAGGTGCCCCTCTACAGCATCATTTCTAATGTGTGATCTTGCCCTCCATCTTCTCCATTTTACTCTATAAATGTCCAGATTCTGTAAACCTCCACACTCTTATGTTCTCTTAGAAAAAAGGATTGTGTTCCTTTGTACATATCTTGAGAAATGGGCTAGTGCAGCTCAAAAGGGTTTGTTTTTGGTTCCCCCTATTCCCCACAAAGCAGCCATTGCTGTATCTGGCTTAGCATTCCAGTAATGCCAAGGCTGATGGTTCTTATTCTTCTGGTTTTTCATGCGGTAATGGCATGGATGCAGCAGCTCTGGCCATCACATCTATGCTTCAGGGAGAGGGAGGTAGGAAGAATACTGAAAGTCACATTAGTGTGTCTCCCCCTTATTTTTTAAATATTGTATTTATTTATTTATTCATGAGAGACACAGAGAGAGAGGCAGAGCACAGGCAGAGGGAGAAGCAGGTGCCCTGCAGGGAGCCAGATGTGGGACTCGATCCCAGGACCCTGGGATCACCTCCAAGCCAAAGGCAGACACCCAACCACTGGCCCACCCCAGGCATCCCTACATTTGTCCCCTTTTTTCAGAACTCCAGATTTTGTCCATTGAGGTCTCCTTAGTTAGGAATGGGTCAAATCTGCATACCTTACCCCAGCCGCTATGAAGGCTGGAAGGAAGGCCTCCATTGTCATAATTGGCTTATATCTGTTACAGTCCCTTCTCTGGACTGGTGCATTGGTACCCTGACAACATTCTGTAGTCAGGCTATGACCACAGGTTACATAGCCAGAGTAGTTACATAGCTTCTTAGCCTCCCAACAGAATGCCTCTGACACCACCTAGGGCTTTCTGACCTGCAGGAAATAACATGTACCTCCACAAGAGGGTATAGCCTATCATCCTAGGGCAGGGGTGAATCTGCAGTGGACGCAGAAGTACCATGTCTCCTCTGAGGCAAAAGATCCTGAAGTGCCCAACATGTTTGGCTTCTTCTAGCTCCAAACACAAAGTCTGCCAGCCTTTGATCTAGGCCAGTACCTGGGCCTATGGCAGATATTCAAGAGATTTTTGTTCAATGAATGAAAGTGTAAGGCTGTTTCTGCAGATGACGCACTTGGTATCAGCATAGGAGCAGAACAGATTTACTTGGAGGCAGGGGTAGTAAGGATGTAGACCCAGTGAGTTGGGGGCCTGTTACCGTCTCTATGTTTTTTCCACCAACTCCCTCAGAGCTCTTGGTATTCTTTTAGGCTGGGAGCCTGGACCTGAAAGCCAAGTGCCACCCAAGGAGCATGTCCTTCCTGAGGTGGATCCATCCCACGTCACTGAAGGGGAAGGCTTCCTGAGGGATGCTCCCTGTCCCACCATACTGAGGGAAGACTGGGAATGTGAGGGCCAGGTAAAGTTGCCTGAGAAAGAACAGGATAATTTGAGGCAATTGGAATTTAACCTCAAAGAAGCGCCAATTCAAGATAAAAGCTATGAAAGTCTCAGACTTGGGGAAAATGGTGTCCTGAGCTCAAACCTAAATCCATTCCCAGAGATTTCTAGGATTGAATATCTCTGTGCTTACAACTCACAGGTTATAAACTCGGAACGTAACTCAAGCTTAGTCAGTCAGCAGACAGGCTCCTCAGGAAAAGAGCCGTGTGACAGCAGTGACTGTAGTAGAACTTCCAGTCAGGCCATTCCAATTCTGGAACTCACACGAAGCCAGGTACAGGATAAACCCTACAAATGTACAGACTGCGGGAAGTCATTTAACCACAATGCTCATCTCACAGTGCATAAAAGGATTCATACGGGAGAAAGACCTTATATGTGCAAAGAATGTGGGAAAGCCTTCAGCCAGAACTCCTCCCTGGTTCAGCATGAGCGAATCCACACAGGAGACAAGCCCTATAAATGTGCTGAGTGTGGGAAGTCTTTCTGCCATAGCACACACCTTACAGTCCATCGGAGAATTCACACTGGAGAGAAACCCTATGAATGTCAGGACTGTGGACGGGCCTTCAACCAGAATTCATCCCTGGGCCGGCATAAGCGGACACACACCGGAGAGAAGCCATACACTTGTAGCGTGTGTGGGAAATCCTTCTCACGGACCACTTGCCTGTTCCTGCATCTGAGGACGCACACAGAGGAGAGGCCATATGAGTGCAACCACTGTGGGAAGGGCTTCAGGCACAGCTCCTCTCTGGCCCAGCATCAGCGAAAGCATGCTGGGGAGAAGCCGTACGAGTGCCGCCAGAGGCTAATCTTTGAGCAGACACCAGCTCTAACAAAACATGAGTGGGCAGAAGCCCTTGGCTGTGACCCACCTCTGAATCCAGATGAGAGAGCCCACCGGAGCGACAGGCCATTTAAGTGTAATCATTGTGGGAAGTGTTTTATTCAGAGCTCGCACCTCATCCGACACCAGATAACTCACACCAGAGAGGAGCCCCAGGGACGGAATCGGCGACGGCTTGAGCAGTCCTTTGGCCGGACCTCACAGCTTGGCCGCCATCAGCACACACACTCAAGCGAGAGCCCTGGGGGTGGGACAAAGGCAGGACAGCCTGCAAGCCAGGCCCTTGCCTTGTTTGACATCCATGAAATCATGCAAGAGAAAAACCCAGTTCATGTTATCGGGGTTGAAGAGTCTTCTATGGGTGCTTCTGTATTATTTGACGTTAGAGAATCCTCATAGGAGAGAAACTACATGTGATTTTTGGAACCGCAGGTACAAAAATGTGGTAGGTCCACATAGTATGTTCATCGAAAGGAGGGCTGGGGGTAGAAATGTCTAAGGTGACCTCTGATATCTTAAGGAAGTGGTGCTTCCCAATACCTGAGATGGGTAGTTCTCAGATCGGTCAAGCCCAGTGCCCCCTTTAACCACAGGTGTTTTGTGCCATTCCCTATACTACTCCAAAATGAATTCACAGGTAATGTAACCTATACACGTGTAGTGTAAAAAAATCAAAAAATAGCCCCTTTTTTAAAAGCATAATTAAAACAAAAGTAATTTATGGTAGAGTAATGTGTACTCAGTTGGTGTGGTATTTCTCCATATGACTGTGTGGACCATTATGCATGGACACCTGGGGTGGGCTGTTGTCATCTGGTATATGGGGTATAATGTTGGCCATGAAAATATTGTGAGGGGCAATCCTGTATGGGATGTGATTTTTCTTAAGTGGTGACTAACTCTTGCAAAAGTTTGGAACAAAACAAGATACTATTATTGCATTTCTGGAATATTCTGTATAAAATTCTAAGCATGCAGGAGTTAATTTGTGTTTATATGTGAAGTTGACTTAGGATCTCAGTTCATACATTACACTCTGGTTGTTTCACACATACATACGTACATGGTCCACAGGGGCCAGTTCTGTACTTCATAGTCATTAGAACACACTTGGTACACACCACATAAGCCCAGATCAAATGACAAAAGAGCCCCCGTGAAATTCTACTACATTCTCTTGGGGTGTCACAGCTCCTACTGAAAGCCATTACCTTGAAATTGTCAGTGTTGCTTAAGCCAGACGTTCTCAATCAGGATGGATTTGTCCTCCAGGAGACATCTGGTGATGTCTGGAGACATTGTTGGTTGTCATAACTGGCAGAACAGAGGGGTGCCACTTGGCAGCTAGTGGGTGGAAAATGCTGCTAAACATCCTATAATGCCCAAGATAGCCCCCTTAACAAGGAATTATCTAGCCACAAATATGCCAAGGTAGGGAAATCATGCCCAGCAGAACAGGCAACGTTTTCCAGACTCTAAATTAGGTGAGGGCTCTACTAACAATCCTAAACCTTTGATTTTAACAAATGATATCATTAATTGATTTATACATAAATGTTTTCTAGTGATTTTTTTTTACTGTTTTGCAACATTCCTAATTGGTGTGAGAAAAGGAAGAGAATCTACTTATTTTTCTGAGTAATGTAAATTTTAGCATTTTATCATGGACCTTGTAAACATGAATAAGCCCCACTTTTGACCATTTCTCCTCACTGCTGTGTGGGGTACAGATTTGGGAATGTTCTACCTATCAGTAGTGCTTTTTGGGGGAGGGGACACCCAATGGTAACTTGCTGGTTCCAGACAGCTCTAGAAGCCAGGCCTGCAATTGCCCTTTTACCTCCACCTCAGCCCCCATAATGGCAGCTCCTGAGGGTCATGTTTCCCCAGTCTCAGAGACTGAGGTTACAGTGGCCTCAGTGGGTAAGCTGTGAACAAGCTTGTCACTTGCCTTCCTCTCCAGGCAACAGAGATCTTTACAAATTTTCTATTTCTCATTTCAGGTCGCATTTCCTAGGCATAATATCCCTACTGATAGTCTTACAGATGTTTTGAAACAAAGGTAAATGAACTCCTCAGGGGAGGTTACTATAAACTACAGAGGACATGATTTTATAAGTTTATAAAAGTAATGTAAATTCTTTACCGCAAATGTGGAAGATGCACAAAAGTAAAATTTAATTCCTCATACTTCCACTATCCAGAGATGGTCATTACCATTAAGATTTTAATTTTCCTATAATTTTTTCTTAAAAATACATGTATACATATAGTGTACACTAGGTCTTAGGCGCACAAAAAATGTATAGTATTGTTGTGTTTAGAAAATTGGAATCCTTTCTAGTTCTCTTATAACACATGTTTCTTACTATATTTTGAGCGTTTTCCTCTGCCAATGAATTTCATGTAGCTTTTTAAATTACCTTTCAGGGAGATTGTAACAGTGTGACCACCTAGCATTTTATCAGCCTTGACTTTTATCCAAAAGGGGGGAAGGATTTCCTATACATTTCCAGGGGAAGTATAAATTGAAACAGGCTCTGTGAAGGGCAACTTACTAGTTGCTATCTAAGATTACAAAGACACAAACTCTTTGTCTTAGTAAACCTGTTGCTGGGAGTGAATCCAATAGATTTATTTGTATGTTGTAGACTATTTGTACATGGTTTCCCTATGGCATTGATTTAAGAAGTAAAAATTTGTAAACAACCTTAGTGTCCACCATGGGGAACTGGGTTAGTGATTTGTGCTGGAATGGAGAACTACACAGCTTTAAAAATGGGGACTGTCTATGTGATAATATGGGAAAGAGCTCCAAGATACACTGTTAAATGAAAAGGTATAAAACAGTGTGTAAAGTATGTTTCCATTTGTGTAAAAAATTTTTTTGGTCACACATAGACAAACACAATCTCCTAAGGGTACAAAGTAACAAGGCATACTGGTTGCTCTTGGGGAGGAGAACTGGGAGGAAAGGGATGAGGAATAATATTCATTCTATATCTTTTGATATTTTTGGAATTTTGAAACATGTAAAAGTATTACCAGTTCAAAAAATAAATTTAAATTAAAAATCTCAACTCTTGCAAATTAAAGTTAAGTTTGATAGTTGGTTTCATTGATCTCTGTCATGCACCCCCCGCCACACACACATGCACACAGTAAATTCATAGCCATACTTGTTCTTATATAGACACACATGTTTGAGGATTGAGTTAATGGAACCAGTTAAGTGTAAAATAGCTTTGACTCCATGAATTTTCCTCCAAGCTATAAATTAGTACATAAATTTTAGTAGTAAATAAGTTTTCAAGTTATTTCATTAAAGTCCCTGTATCAGCCCAAATTATGAGAGCCCACACCACACATGAATTGTGGCCAACAGCCAAGTTGCCCATTTTCAGTATCGCCTTGTACATCTTCAGAGATAACTCAAGTCGTTTGTGCATAAGGTAACTGAGGAGAATTCCTCATCCAGTCTGAAGAGCAGTCTCCCATAGATTTCTTGTAAGGAGACCCAAGGTGAATATCTTCCAGACGTTCCAAGTTGTCTAGCATGGTAGTCACTAGCCACATGTAGCTATTTAAATGTAATTTTAAATTCACCCAAAATTAAAATAACAATTGAATTCCTCATGTGAATAACTACATTTAAACTGCTCACTAGTTACATTTTCCTCATCTCTAGAAAGTTCTTTTGCACAATGCTGGTTGAAGGTAAATGGTTGAGAGGATTAACTAATGTGAGAAAGCCTGCACACGAGGCGGTGGCCGTGTGCAGTGCGTGGTTTTTTATTGGGTTTTGAATAAAAGACGAAAACAAAAAGGTAGGACGTCATTGGAAGAAATTAGCATATAGGCTGAAGTAGGTAATCATGTGGTTTCCTGGGTAGGCAGAAGAATGTACTGGATCTTAGAGGAAATCCGATGAAGCTTTACAGGAAACAGGGTGCGTGTGTGTGTGTGTGTGGGGGGGATTTCCCAGACTATACATAGCCAGACATGTGGGGTGTACATGCGTGTGCGAAGAGAAAAAGGTACGCTGTATTATTTAAAAGTACATAGCCTACGCGTGTAGCTGACTGGTCCTACGCTCCAGCGGCGCAGAGCAGCCAGGTTCCTATGCTCCCTCCCTGGTGCCGGCGCCATTTGGACTCCTTTTCCCAGAAGGCTGTTGACCCTATGCTTGGCCGGTTTCCAGCACGCATCGGGCAGGGCTCCCTGGGAGAATATCCCGAGCTCAGCGCGGGCCACCCGCGGAAGAGCAGACCGGAAGTGTCTTTGTCCTGTCGACGGCTGGTGGCGCCATTCCCGCTCTGTGAGGGGTTGGCTGCGGTGGTGAGTCCGCTGTTTCGGCGTGGTGGCTTATATGAGTGTGAGGGACGACGAGGCCCACGTGTGCATGCCATGGTAGTGACTGAGTGGCCGAATGGGGCCCAGGAGGGAGCGCGGCCCTGGGGTGGGGGACGGGAGAGAGGAAGAACAGTGGGCGCGTGCACATGCCGGGGGATGTGAGGAAGAGACCAGTGCGTGCCCGTGAGACCTCAGCTGTGTATGGCCGAATGTGACACTGCATGTGTGCGCGTCAGAGAGGAGGGGTGTTTTGCATGTAAGTTACCACCTGTGTGTGCATGAGCCCTTAAGTGTGTGAGAGGGGCCCAGTCCGTCCGTTCTTGTGTGTGCAGGTGTGATAGGTTGTGCATGTGGCTGAATGTGTCACCACATGTACGTTTCAGGGGGAAGGGTATCCTGCATTGCATGCAAGACACCACCTGTGTGTGCAGATGAGACCTCAGGTGTGTGTGTATGTGGGGGGGGGCAGTGTGTCGGAGCCTGTGTGTGCAAGTGTGACCTCAGGTATGTGCATTTGCCTGAATGTATTACTGCTTGTGCATGTCAGAAGGGAAGAGTGTATTGCACATCTGACACCATCTGTGTGTGCAGATGAGACCTCAAGTGTGTGTGAGTGGTCAGGTGTGTCACCATGCATGTTTGTGGGGAAGGGGTGTTTTGAATGTGTGACACCTCCTTTGTGTCTGCAGGCATGACCTCAAGTGTGTGCCTATGGCCTCTACCCCTTAGTCATCACTCCCTGTTCCCCTTTTCTCCAGCCCCTGGCAACCAGTAATCTACTTTCTTTTAATTTTCTCTGTTCTGGATATGTGATATAAATGGGATCAAACAATATGTGGCTTTTTTGTGTTTGGCTTTTTTCACTGAACATAATGTTTTTAAAGTCCATGTTGGGCCATGTATCAATACTTTATTCATTTTTATAGCTGAATAATGTTCCATTTTGTTAATATACCACAGTTTGTTTACCTGAATAATGCTGCTGTGAACACTCACAGATTTTTGTGTGGACGTATATTTTCAGTTTGGAGGACGGAGGCATTTGGGTCTGTCCCAGGGAAGTACTTGTGTATGGCTACACCTGCTCCCTGTTGCTTTTGCTTACCCAGTAGTATTTCATTTCTAGAATCCTAGCCCTGAGCCCCCAAGTGAAAGCCAGGAGCCTGACTGCTATATGGGAGTAGATGGGAGGAGGCAGTGGCTTTGGGAACTGGAAACCTAGCCCTGCAAGAGTCATCTACAACTTGAGATCTGTCTGAGACTAAGACCACATGCCCTCTATCTGTGGTCAAGCTGCTGTGGTCAAGCAGCCCAGAGACAGCAGAGTGGCAGGCAATGGATCTTGAGGAGCCGGTGAGGCACATGGCAGAGTGGTGGTGGTAGGGCTGGACATGTTCAGAAACCAGATCTTCCTCAAAACATGCCCTGCTCCTCCTGCCTTCACTGTTCTGCCATCCTCAGTCTAATCAAGACTACCACCTCCTCACAGATCTCCTGCCTTCCCTTGCCCCCTTTATTGCTCTCTATACTGCCCTGAAGGGGTCTTTAAATCCTGAACAGTGAAGTTATGTCCCCCTTAAACCTTCCATCCCTGCCCTGGTTGTCACAGCAGAGTTGGCAAACTCTCCCTTTAAATACCAGGTAGTGGGGTACCTGAGTGGCTCATTGGGGGGCACCTGGGTGGCTCAGTGCTTGAGCTTCTGCCTTTGAATCAGGCTGTGCTCCTGGGGTTCTGGAATCAAGTCCTGCATTGGGCTCCCCACAAGGAGTCTGCTGCTTCTGCCTGTGTCTCTGCCTCTCTCTCTGTGTGTCTCTCATGAATAAATAAATAAAATCTTAAAAAAATTTAAAAAAAACCACACCAGGTAGCAAGTGTTTTCAGCCTTGTATGATAAGAGGCAAAACCAAAGATGTCAGGTAGATACTTACCTAATGAGAGAAATTTTTTCACATATTTTTTCCGCATGAAATCCAGAACTTTATCAAATGCTAATATCTGAATTTCATGTACCATTAATCTTCTGATGATTTTTCCCTCCCAACCACTTAAAAATGGAAAAACTATTATTAGCTCACACTCTGTATAGCAATGGGTTTGCTGACCCCTGATTTGACCAAATCTACAATTCTTCCCATGCCTTCTGGGTCTGCCTGTTTCCAGGCTTCACCTACAGCTCTCCCTTTGCCCATGCCCCTGGCCACTGAATAACATTTAAGCTTAGATATTACCTCAGAGGCCCTCCCTGACCACCTGATCCAAAACAGGTGCCACACATATCTACACACCACCTGTGTATCTACTCTTCAGGAGCCACATGGAGTTGATGGCTGCCAATGGGACAGTATAGCTTCACATTTTCATCCTCACAGAAAGTTCTAGAGCTTAATCTGGACAGTGCCTATACAGGTGTGTGCATTGGTCAAAACTCATTGAGCTGAGCACTCATACATCTATTAAAAATATATCTTTTTGATGGGGCAGCCCCGGTGGCTGAGTGGTTTAGCGCCACCTTTGGCCTAGGGCATGGTCCTGAAGACCCAGGATTGAGTCCCACGTCGGGCTCCCTGCATGGGGCCTGCTTCTCCCTCTGCTTGTGTCTCTGTGTCTCTGCCTCTCTCTCTCCTTGTCGCTGTGTCTCTCATGAATAAATAAATAAAATCTTTGAAAAAATAAAAATAAAAAAATACATTTTTGAAAGCAGACTCAAGTCTGACTTCCTGAATTTAGATTCTCACCCATCACTTGCTTTACACCTTTGATTTAACCTGTGACCTTCTCCTCACCTGTATAACAGGGTGATGATAGTACCTCTTTTTCCTTGTATTAGGGAACTTGGCCAGAATTGCACAGCAAGCCTTGAGAAGTCTGCACCCTGGGGTGGCATGGAGCTGCAGCACCAGCAGCTGTAGCTGCCCACAGGGACTCATGGATAGTTCTGTTTTAGAGGCAGGGGTCTGAGGTCCAACCTCCAAGCATCAAATCAGAGGACTGCTTCTTGTGGAGCCCTGAGCTCAGTGACCTTCTACCCAGCTTGGGAGCCAGGATGGGATGGAGGGTATAAAGGTGGTGTGGCTTCTGGCAGCAAGGACACCATGAGGTGTTCCTATATTATATTTCATTTCACAAAGACCTTCTGAGACATAACACCATCCATCCTCCTGGGGACCCAGGAAGAAATGGGCTCAGAGCAGGGATATGGCTAGTTAGTGCAACATAGTGGCACATAGTGGAGCCACAGGTCAGAGCTTCCTACTCCCAAGTATTTGTCATCTTCTGGGTCATCCTGGATCCGTGGTGGCTATGTAGACCCCTTTACGAGAGCCCGGGTGGGCTGTCACATCCCCAGACTGATTCTGGGAGGTGTGGGGCCCTCTGTCTGTCCATGTGGATGCTTCTTTCTCCATAGGATTCACTATCTGGGCTGGTCATAGGTGGGAACAAGAGTAGGGGTGCTTCCCTGCAGAAGCTCAACACAAGCAAGGATCTTGCTCTTCAGTACATTAGTTTCCTTCCTGCAAAATAGGTCTGGTAGTGTTGATCCTAACTATCCCTCATAGGGACAGAATAAGGATCAAGCAAGGTGATGTAAGATGTCCACACCATGCCTAGCATGTAGTAAGTGTTGGGTGCTATGGTTCTGCCAATCCCTGGGACGTAAGCAGGAGGGAGCAGGCCCAGGTGGTCGGTGTAGGAGGAAATACCTATGGGAGGGTCTGGGGTGGGGGGGCCCTGGAAAGAGTCTAGTGACTGGCAAGGGTAGAGATGTGAGATGAGGGGACTTTGGGGTGTGGGTCTCGAGCCTGAGGGCAGATCTGGCCTCTCTCACATCCCCTCTCCTCCCCCAGCTCTTCCTTCTCAGTAGAGTATCAAGGAAGACAAGCCCAAGGCCCACAATACTGCATTCCCAACAGATGTTTTCCACGTGAGTTTCCAAAAATGCCAGCAGTCTCATCAGACATTCTCCTTTCTATCCTTCCTTCTGTGGTACTTTTACTCCTTGGCACTGGAATGGAGCCACAGCCCCCAAGGAACATGAGTCCTGGGGCAAGGCCCCTTCCTCTGTCTTGGCCACTCCTCCTCCTCTTCCTCTTCTTCCTTCTCTCTTCACTCCAGGGTGGGGCTTAGTGACCCTGTCAATTTAGGGGACCTTGGAGGAAATCCTGGCCTCGACCAATCTGGGACATAGGCTCTTTATGGTCACCCTGCTTATCAGCAAATATCCAAGGAAAGGACAGAGCAGGGCCTGGCATATGCAGACACCTGGAAGATATTAATGGGCAAATGAGTGAATGGTGGCACTGAGCAGCATTTAGAAAGGTGGTTAGGGGCTTTGGGTGTTAATGGTAAGTAGTTACTCAGAAATTGATGTTGCGGGCAGCCCTGGTGGCCCAGCGGTTTAGCGCCACCTTCAGCCCAAGGCCTGATCCTGGAGATCCACGATCTAGTCCCACGTCAGGCTTCCCACAAGGAGCCTGCTTCTCCCTCTGCCTGTATCTCTGCCTCTCTCACTCTGTGTCTCTCATGAATAAATAAATAAAATCTCTTTAAAAAAAAAGAAAGAAATTGATGTTGCTTGCTGACACTCTTTTTTCATGGAGTCTGCAAGGAGACAGCCACACACAAGCAGAGGGATTGTTGCCACAGCCTAGGGGTGCTGCTGTGGAGCAAAAAGTCTAGGTTGGGGACACTTACTGGTCCCAAACCATATGTGGCTGGTGTTGGATGCCATCCCATCCTCCAGGCCTCCCCTGCCCAGCCCTAAAGAGGATGCAGACCACACAGGTGTGACAGATGACTTTATGGGGGGCTGACAGGGGCCATCCAGGTGTTTCTCTGGGGGCCACAAAGCTGAGTGCTTTGGGAAGTGATGAGGAATTACTATGTCTTTTTTTTTTTTTTTTGGAATTACTATGTCTCAATCTGCTCAGGCTCCTGTAACAAAATATGGTAAACTGTGTGTGAACTTAATCAACAAAATTATTCCTCATAGTTTTGGAGACTAGAAGTCCAAGATGAGGGTGTCAGCAAGGCTGAGTTCCAGTGAGAGCTCTCTTCATGACTTGGAGACAAGCTGTCTTCTCTCTGTGTCCTCACACACTGGGGAGAGAGCCAAGGTGAGATCACATAGGCTTTGGTCTCTCCCTCTTCTTATGAGGGCACTAGGCCCGTCATGGGGCCCGAGCCTCATGACCTCATCTAAACCTAACCCCACCCCCTCCAAAAGGCTCCACTTTTAAACACCTTTATACTGAGGGGTAAAGCTTTAACAAGAATTTGGCAAAGACACAATTATTCCAGTGGGACCACAGCACTCAGTGTCAAGGTGATAATAGTGCCACTCACAGCATGAGCCACACCCCTTACCCCATAACAATCAAGTGTTTCTCAGAACATTCAATCTTGCTATTCCCCATGGGGCTGGGCTGGTCAGACAGGGCCCATGGTTGAGCCAGTGCATGTGGGATGTTTCAGAAGCCAGTGACATTTAAGGACGTGGCCGTAGACTTCATACAGGAGGAATGGGGGTTGCTGGACCCCACGCAGAGGATCCTGTACTGTGATGTGATATTGACGAACTACAGCAACTTGGTGTCCCTGGGTGAGGCCTTCCTGTCACCTTTTTATCCATGTCCCATGTGTGTATTTCCATGTGTGCTCACACATACATGTGCATATTTATCCCCTGCCTTGTCCCCAGCAACCCACACCCAGGTATGTCCTTGCTCTGATGTGTGTCCCCCACTTGGGTCCGTCTGTACAGAGTGGACGCCCCACCTCACATCACCACAGAGAGATCTCTCCCATGCCTGAGGCACACACACTGCACTATTGGGCCTGTTGGGGCCTGGCTGGGTTGTGGCAACAGCGTCAACACTTCCCTCCTACTTTATATCTATGGGCAGGTCTTCACAATTGCAAACCAGATATGATCTCCAAGCTGGAGCAGCGGGAAGACCCCTGGATTATGGAGAAAGATATCCTGAGAAGTACAGGTGAGTGAAATAAGATTCTATCAGATCGATATTTTTTTGAAAGATTTTTATTTATTTATTCATGAGAGACACACACAGAGAGAGAGGCAGAGACACAGGCAGAGGGAGAAGCAGGCTCTATGCAGGGAGCCCGATGTGGGACTTGACTCCAAGATCACACCCTGGGCCAAAGGCAGGCACTAAACTGCTGAGCCACCCAGGGATCCCCAGATCAGATATTTTTTAAAGTTAATCTTTTCCCCCAGCTTTTTTTAAGGTATAATTGACAGATAAAAATCGTACATATTTAAAATATACAACATGGTATTTTGATATGCATTATGAAATGGTCACTATCAAGCTAATTTATATATCCATCAACTCATAGAGTTGTGATGTTTTTTCTGTAGTGAGAACGCTTCCAATCAACTCTTAGGAAATTTGAGGTATACAATACAGTATCGTAACTACAGTCACCATGCTTCAGATCAGTTTATTTCTCCTCTTGGGAAAAGGAGGTGCAATATACATCAAACAGAAAAGATCTAGTAGTTGCAAGAGCCTGAAAACACCTGACAGTCATTTAGTAGTCACTTCCCCAGACCTGCCAGCCACCAATCTGCTTTCTGTCTCTATGATTTGCTTGTTCTGACCTTTCAGATAAATGAAGTTTATATAAATGTATTCGTATAAATTCATTTTCTTTTTTAAAAAAAGATTTTATTTATTTATTAATGAGAGATACAAAGAGAGTCAGAGATAGAGAGAAGCAGGCTCCATGTAGGGAGCCCGACATGGGACTGGATCCCGGGTCTCCAGGATCACACCCTGGGCCGAAAGCAGGCACCAAACTGCTGAGCCACCCAGGCATCCCAAATTCATTTATTTTTCATATAGATATATGTCATGCTATGTGTATCCTTTTTGTCTGGCTTCTAACCTCTGGGAACAGTGCTCTATGCACATTCATGTCCAGATTTTTGTTTTCCATTCTGTTGACCAGGCCCTGTTGCAGTAAGTGTTTGGTTATAAAACAATCCCAATGGCAGCTGACAGGTGGGGTGACTCTCAACCTTGGCCCATGCCTATCTGTGTTCCATTATACCCCTCCCTTGCCCATTGTGAGGAAGAGGGTTGACAGCAGGTGTGAGGTCACCATTCTTCGAAAAGCCTGATACAGGGCTGGCCTTTGGCTGGTGTCTGGGAACTTGGATCGTGGGAAGATTCCCACCATTCCCTGAATGATAAGAGTGGTTCACTGCATCTAAGCAATCTGTACAAATAGTGTGATTTATACCAAGTGCCTACTTTCCTTCTGGGAGTCTGAAATTTTGGTACATGCTACGTAGTGGGTGCATATATGGCCAGCCCCCAGTAAAACCCTGGGCACTGAGTCTCTAACAAACTGTAGACGACACTTTATGTGTCAGAATCCAGTGCTAGAGGGGTTTGGTGTGTGCTGTGTGGCTCCACTGGGAGAGGACTCTGCCCCCTGTGCCTTCTCCCTTTGCTGGTTTTGCCCAGTGTCCTTTTGCTCTAATCAGTCACAGCCATGAGTATGACTCTGTTGAGTCCTGTAAGTCCTAGGGAATCACCAAGGCTGTAGAGATCTTCTGGACTGGTCCACTCTTCTGTCCTTATCTGCAGGAGTACCATTGAAAGCCATGGGTCTGCACTGTCCCAGTGTGACTGCTGAGGTTCTGTCCATCCCTCGTAGATTGGTAGTGTACATTCAGGTTAGGGCTTGAGAATGTTTCTTTGCTTATTTTTCAGACTCAGAGCCTAGGCACTAAGCTGCATGGCTGCCTCTAAAGAAAGCTCTTCTTCCTCAAGAGCAGATAACAATGGGATTCACAGGGCAGGATTTCTGGCACACCATCCAGAGAAGTCACAGAGCATGAAGGCCAGGTGGCAGAAAGACAATGCCAAGCAGTGACACTCGGCAAGGGGAAGAAAAGCCCAGACTGGAGCCTTGCTAGAACTTTCTCCTGGAACCCATTCCTCATTGAGCATGGGGGCAATTCCCCAAGGGCTCAAGCTTCCACGAGCTATGTTGGCAAGAAGGGCCTTGCCTGTGTTTCATTCCTAGATCAGGGGCTCCCCTGCCAAGGAGAAAGTGTATGGAGGCCCTTAGTTCCTTTCCAGACCTTTGTCACCCACAAGGAACTCACAGTAGGGAGGACACATTGGAGTGTGGTGGATGGGAAGATACCTTTGGCAAGAATGCATGCTCTGTGGTTTATCAACAGATTCCCATTAAATGGAAGCCCTACACATGCAAGGAGTGTGGGAAGGCCTTTGGACAGAGCGCACATCTTGTTCAACACCAGAGAATCCACACTAGTGAGAAGCCAAATACATGCCAGGAGTGTGGACAGGCCTTCAGCAAGAACTCGACCCTTGTTAAGTACTAGCACATCCACACAGGTGAGAAGCCCTATGTGTGCAGCCACTGCCACAAGCACTTCTGAGAGAACCCATCCCTGGCCAAACACCAGCGGGTGCACACAAGTGAGAAGCTGTAAACCTGTAGTGACTGTGGGCATGCCTTTAGTCAGAACACTCACCTCATGCAGCACCAGCAAGTCCACACTGGGGAGAAGCCGTTCCTCTGTTGTGAGTGTGGCAGAGCCTTTGCTGATGCCCCAGCCCTCCTGATCCACCACAGGACCCACTCAGGAGAGAGGCCTTATGAGTGCCACAAGTGCTGCAAGGCGTTCAGCCTCAGCTCCTTCCTGGCTGAGCATGAGCACTACCACACAGGAGAGAAGCCATACATATGCCAGGAATGTGGGAAATGTGGGAAAACCTTCAACCAGAGCTCATCCCTCAGCAAGCACCTGAGGACACACACAGATGAGAAGCCATACACATGCAGGGATTGTGGCCATGTGCTTTCAGCCAGAGGTCCTCCCTGGCCAGACACCAGCAGGTGCACACTGGTGAGCAGCCCTACACGTGTAGAGAATGGGAAGACCTTCAGCCAGGCCTCTTACCTGACCCAGCACCTCAAGATTCATAGCAGTGAGAAACCATTCATATGTGGTGAATGTAGGAAACCCTTTGGGGATTCTTCAGCCCTGGTCCTGCACCAGCAGATGCACACGAGTGAGAGGCCCTATCCCTGTGGAAAATGCGGGAAGACCTTCAGCCAGAGCAAGTTCCTTACCCAGCACAAGAGGATCCACCCTGGGGAGAAGCCCTTTGTGTGTGGCAACTGTGGCAGGGCCTTTGTGCAGAGCTCCTCCCCCACCCTCCACCTCAGGACATACACCAGGGAGAAGCTCTACAAGTGCAATGAGTGTGACAAGGCTTACATCCAGATGTCACCCCTCACTGAGCACTACAGGGTGCACAGAGGGGAGTGGCCCTATGTGTGCAATCTATGCAGCAAAGCCTTCAGCCACAGCACACACCTCATGTAGCACCAGCACATCCATGCGTGTGCCAAGCCCTTCATATGTGGCCTGTGTCAGAAAACCTTCCATGAGTCTACGGCCCTCATTTTGCATCAGAGGATTCACACTGGACAAAAGCCCTTTGAATGTCATAAATGTGAGAAAGTCTTCAGCTGGAGCAGATCTGTGGCCCAGCATCAGAAAATTCATTCCCAGGGGACACCATGTGAGGGCAGTGAGTATCAGAAAACCCTCAGCAACTCTTTGGTTTTCATCTATCAGTGAACTGGGGATATGCCAAACATGGCAGAGACTTTCTGTCTGTCCTTGGTGTGGTGTTCTTCATCTGGCAGAGGGCCCTCTGAATGTCAGGAACTCAGGACCAGTGCAGAGCAGCCCCCTTGCTCATCATACGCCTCTCTGCAGTGTCACCCAGTTGGGTGAGAAAGCCAGAGTGAGCCTTAAAGAGGAGCAACAGCCCCTCCCATTCTCCATCATACAGGCTCCCACAGAAGTCCACCAGATGGTGGGAGAGATCCACAGGTTGGACGGTTTCAGCAAGCCTGGAACAGAGCTTGTTCCAGTTTTGCCAAGCAAAAATGAAAACAAAACAAAACAAACCTTAAAAAGATGCTTTTTGGGGGGCAGGTGGGTGGCTCAGTCAGTTGAGTCTGACTCTTAGTTTTGGGTCAGGTCATAATCTCGGAGTTCAGAGATTGAGCTCCACAGCGGGGATTCTGCTTCCCCTCTCTTTCCTTCTACCCCTGTCCCACTCCCTCCCGCCCCCCCACTGCTCATGAGCTTACTCTCTCTAAAATGAGTAAATAAATCTTTAAAAAACAAAGATGCTTTTTCAGTTGTTTGTGCCTTGTGTTAACTCAGGCCATATAGTTTTGGGTTATGTGGTTTTGTTTTGCTCCTCTGCCAGAAAGTAAAGTTTATAATGTTGAAATGTGCTGTGTCATAAAGTCGTGGTCTTTAAAAAGACTGTGTGTCATTCATCAGCTTCAGCATGAGGACTTCATTAAAATCAGTTGAGCCAGTGACATTTATGTAAGACTTTAGCACTTCATAAGCATTTACATACATTGTTTTGTTTATTCTCCTCAGCAGCCCTGAAATGCAGATATTTTTATCCCCACTTCATAGACAAGGAGCTGAGGTTTTTTAAAAAATACTTATTTATTTATATATTTAGGGAGAGGTGGAGGAGAAAGAATCCCAAGCAGACTCCTCATTGAGCATGAGCCCCATGCAGGGCATGATCTTATGATCCAGATATGACCTGAGCTGAACACAAGAGCCAGATGTTTAACTGCATCATCCAGGTGCCCCAAGGAGCTGAGATTTTGAGAGGTTAAACCACTTGCCTGAGGCCCCTAGCGGGAAGCCACTCATATTTCAGGATGAAAATACTAGAGTTAGCATATAGGGACAGAGTGGCAATAATCCCTCCATCCTTTTCAGCATATGCCAGGGCATTTACTGTAAGGAGGCAGCTCTAGAATGTAATGTCCTTGAAGAAGCAGGTTGAGCCATCTGGCTGACTTAGGGAAAGATGAAACGTAGGAGCTGGGCAGCCATTGCTCAGTCCAGACGTTGGTTATGTGCCTGCTGGAGCCATGCCTTTGTTCTGTCACAGGCATGAGCCTTTCACTTTTCCATACAGCCTCACTCAGGGGTTCTCTGTGGCCATCAGGATGTGGTCTGGCCTTGAAGCCTCTGAATTCACCCCCCCACAGCCCATCTTTCCAGGTTTATCTCCAGTCATTCCTGTGTTGTCCAAGCCAGCTTGTTCCGTGTCCTCAGCATCAGTACCCTCCAGGGCACCTCCTTACTGGCTGAATCAGAAGCAGCCTGTCTTCCCCTTATGCCCCCCATGGCAGCATGAACATTGTGTTGTCACTGTCCATGTCCTTGTTCAGAGCCCACCCTGGACCCAGAGGCCCTTTAGCACACTCTGTAGACCCATCTCCTGGCATGTGGCAGGGCCAAAATCGACAGGGAATGAATGAGTGAATCAATGAGACACCAAATACAAAATGACTGCAAGGAGGACGACTGGGTGGCTCAGTTGGTTACACATCTGCCTTCGGCTCAGGTCATGGTCCCCAGGGTTCTGAGATCAAGTCCTACATCGGACTCCCAACTCAGCAGGGAGCCTGCTTCTCCCTCTCCCCCCCTGCTTGTGCTCTCTCTCTCAAGTAAATAAAATCTTTTTTTTTTTTTTTGAATTACTGCAAGGGAGTTCCCAAGACCACTTTCAGGTTCCATGACTCACTAGGACTCCAGAACTCAAAAAAAGCTGAGATACTGTTTATTACAGTGAAAAGAATACAAATTATAACCACAAAGTTAGAAGGTACATAAACTGGAATCCAGGTAAAAACTTCCATTTGTCCTCTCCCAATGTAGTCACAGACTCTGTAGTACTCCCCGCAAGGCGTGACAATACACATGAAGTATTGGCAGCCAGGGAAGGTTACCCAAGCCTGGAGGCATTTATTGGGGGTTGGCCACATAGATGTGGAGTACCTGCATGACTGGCCTTAGTTCCTGAGCCTCCAGCTGTCTCAGAGATTAGCCTGATCCGGTGTGACTCAAGGTCCCATCATAAATCACACCTGGTGTAGCCTAAGGCTCCTGGTGAGGAAAGACACTTATCAGGCAGGATATTCCAAGGGCTTGGAGGTTCTCTCAGGAGCCAATCCCTAGGGCCTGTCAATTCTTTGTAATGTGCAGTTTGGACATCCCAGGTCTACTGAGTTCTACTCTTTGCTGCACAATGGCCCAGCGCAGCTGGTGACCAGTGATGCCTCCTTACCTAGCCAAGTGCCACAGCTACTACTACAGCACACAAGAGAGAAGAGGCTTCAGCCAACTGGAGGCAGTGTTGTTTGGGATGCTCCAGATTCCCCTACAAGAGGGCAAGACCACCTCAGGGGCTACATCTTCAGGAGAGCATCCTGTGTGAGCCCCAGGGACCAGGCTGAGAAGTAGGAGAAACTGGGCAGCTGGTAAGCCTTTGGGGCATCACATGGCATGGATGGGGCAGGCTTGCCACCCTTTCTGTAGGGTGGTTGGGCCTCAGAACCAGCTAAATCCAGCTCCATGAGTTTAAGTCCACTACAACCCAAATAAGCTCTGGGTCTCTACCCTCTGCCTCATATTCCTTATCTGTAAAATGGGATAGTGATCCCTTCCCTACAAGGATTTAACATGTTAACTTGTAGAGAAAGAGTATGTCCAGTATGAGTGCTGTTCTACCAGGAAACAGTCTCCAGTTGAGGCAGGTCAGTGATGGTCATAGATTGGCTGTGGTTGGGCAATGAGAATGATGTGCGGCCAACAGCTAGTGTGAATGGCCCTATGGGAACTTGGATGGTCATGTGGAGAGGACAGCAGTTGTAAAGCCATGGGCTTTTGGACTGGGAAGACCTGAGCTTTTCTGGCATCTGATGGTCAGGGCAGAGGCTGGCACAGCACCACATAGGAGCAGGGTCCTAGCCACAGAATGTCCCTGGGGCCATTCCTTCCCATAAGGATAGATGGTCTTCAAGTTCTTTTTTAATTTTTTAAAGAGAATTTTTTTAAGCTTTTATTTATTTATGATAGTCACACAGGTAGAGAGAGAGAGACAGAGACATAGGCAGAGGGAGAAGCAGGCTCCATGCACCGGGAGCCCGACGTGGGATTTGATCCCGGGTCTCCAGGATCGTGCCCTGGGCCAAAAGCAGGCGCTAAACCGCTGCACCACCCAGGGATCCCGGTCTTCAAGTTCTTTGCCCATTACCATTGATGGCTCACCTCTGTCTCATATCAAACATCTGTCTGCAAAGAGCTGTCCAGACACCATGCCAAGGGCAGGGGAGCCATGGGCACTGACTGCAGGAGGCAGAGGCTGGGCATCCAGGCCCAGCCAGACAATCCTGCCAAGGGGCAAGGGGGAGTCCATGGGGCCTCAAGGTTCTCACTTCTCTACTTGGGTGGCCCCTGGTAGGGTGTGTATCTGCACTTGAACACACCCTCACACATCGCACACTGACAAAAGATTCTCTCCATGACCAAGTTTCAGTCAGGTTGTTCTGAGCAGTTTTTGATGAGGCCTCAAACCTGGAGCTTCTGTGTCCATTATAGAGTCTAGCTAAGTCACTTTAGCAAGAATCTCCCACCTTCCATATGTGTTTACTCTGGTTCCTCCTCCTCCCCCTCTCCCCAGTGATATCTGCACACCCTGGCCTGCCTTCAGCAAGAATCCTGTTCGACACCCCCTTTCCCCTGACATTTCCTCTTAGTAACTGTTTTTCCACTGACCCCCATGCTGCTCCCTGACTATAAATCTCCACTTGTCCCTAGTGGAATCAGAGTTGAGCCCTAACCTAACCCCCAGTATATCCCAGAATGTGACTGTCATACACAGTCTGGGACCTTCATGCTCTATCAGGCCCTCCTGGGCACCACATCTCTGTCTCACAGACACCATTACACAATGTGACAGCATTACACAGAATGCTGCAGGATTATCACATATGGTGACTAACACGGAGGTCTCTCTCACACACACACAGAACTACCCACACACGTGGTCATAGGGAATGACACATGCAATCTACCTCTAGGACACTTATAGTCGCACAGGACAAACACATGGAATCACCTGTATACGGTCACAGAAAGCAACACACACTATATAGGATGCACACTCTTCACACCAACACCCGCACTCCTTACCTTCACGCACCATGCACGGTGCTGCCTCCTGCACAGACCCCGGCCCAACTCTCCGCTCTCCGCCACCACAACCCCATAAAGGCCCACCCTTCAGCCAGCTGTCCCGTTCAGACTACAACTCCAGGCGAGCCCCGGGACGCGCAGGGAGGACGCGAGGCCTTCTGGGGATTGTGGTCCAGAAGAACGAGACGGCGGCGTGGGTGCTTTGGGGGCCGCGGAGCTCGAGACGCGAGACCTGATGAAAACCGTAATCCTGGCTAGCAGGCGCGGCTGCTGGACAGCGCAGCGCATTCTGGGAGTCATGGTCCCGGCGAGCGGGCGCGCAGGCGGCCTAAACTAGGAGGCGCCTCCGAGAGCACTCCCGGAAGTGGCCGCAGCTGCGCGGGTGAGGGGGTTGCTAGGGGTGCGGTCCGCTGGAGTCGCGGCGGGAAAGGAAAGCGCCAGGCCCCGAAGCTCGCGGCGGCCTGAGCCAGACGGGCGGGCCCTACCCGCCGACGGGGCTTGAAGCGCTAACCACCAGCGGCGCGGCTGGAGGACCGACTGACGGACGCACGGACCAAGTGTGGAACTCCCTGTCGGATGTGGGAGCCGCTGACTGGGACGCAGCCTGCCTGTGGGCTCCGGCAGGGGCCACATCGCGGGCGTGCGTTTCTGACTGGTAGCCTGGGAGTGGGGGCGGTCTTCGGATGTCCTATGCGGCTGACCAAGACGGTGGCCTGAGTTTCCAGGGGATCCTGTGATGTTATGAGTGAGAGGGTGGGGGTGTGGCTGGCCGTGTGACCTCAGGTGTGACTGCGAGCATCTATCGTGTGACTGACGGGCCGAGATTATGAGTGGCTGTGCCGGAATCCTCCGCTGTGACGGCGCTGCTGTGAGGGCCTGTGTTTACGGGACTAACTGCATTTTGTGCGTCTGGGCATAGTTTGGAGTATGACTGACACCGTGCCTGAGATAGGGTGTGTGTGTGACTGTGTGATTGACTAAGATTTTGTCAGGCCTACTGAAATTTGGGTGATTTGCAGAGAGTTCACCAAGTAGGTGACAGGGACTTTGTGCTTTGTGTGTCTGCAGTTGGAGTTATTTGACAACCCGTAGCAGGGTTTATGGATATGTCCCCCAGCACCTGTGGACTTAAGTCTGGCAGTCAACAGATTGGTTGTTTACCACATGTTTGCTGTGTGCCAGACCTGTACTGGACATCTGTCATGGATCACCTTGGGTAACCTCACAGCAGCTCTCTGAGGTAGGTGCCAGCTAATAGGGTGACTACATGTAAGAACCATTCTCCTCAGTTGGTTAAACACTCAAGGTTTGGAGACCTTGACCTGATGTGAGGTCACCATGTTGGGAATGGGCTGAGGCAGGTGGGTGTACATGTGTCTCAGAGACTGTTATCAGTGATTTTCCAGGACAGGAGCTCCAGAGGTACAAAAAGGAGCTTGGAATCTTGCTGCATTTATTGTCATCCCTACAATTCCTGCTTCCCCTCCCCCTGTATGGTGATTCCCCACATCTGTGGGTGACCATGCTCAGCCTTTCCTCGTTCCTCCATTTGCTTAGCACCCATCTATAATGTACTTGACATAGACCGTGCCCTGGGAACTGTTGCTACAGCAAGAGCAAGCCGTCTCTCTGGGACAACATGTGGTTATAGCCAGAGCTGGGTAAAGAGAGACCCAGAGCCCTCAGAAGGATACTTAACTTGCTCCCAAGTGCTTGGACAGTTCTTGGAGAAGATGGCAGGTAAAGTGCCATTTGGAGGACTAGGAAGAATTAAGTGCAGAGAGAGATTTTAGAACAAGAGGATAACAGGGACAAAGGCTGAGAAAATGGGGATTGAGAGTAATGGCAAGGTGACAAGAGGCTCAAGAGAGCTTCATGATGGAGTTGGGGGCTAAAACACAGTTTTGCCAGAAGTTGCCAGCTACCACTGAAAGGTTTTAGGGTTGGGGTTTATTTTACAAACGTTTGCTTGTCCCTATGCCCACGGCCATGGCTCAAGTGCAACATTTGTTATCTCTTTAAGTTTAGCTATCTTAGCAGTGTAAAGTGGTATTTCATTGTGGGTTTGATTCGCATTTCTCTGGTAGCCGTGATGAGCAACTTTTCATGTCGCCTGTTGGCCATTTGTATATCTTCTTTGAAGAAATGTCTAGTCAAAATCTTTGCCCATTCTTTAACTGGTTTATTTGTCTTTTTATTATGGAGTTGTTTAGATACAGGTACCTTTTCAGGTATATAATTTGCAAATATTTCCTGACATTTTGTGGGTTGCCTTTTTGCTTTCTTGATGGTGTCCTTCAAATTGGGAAAGTTTTTAATTTTGATGAAGTTGTTTTTCTACTTTATCTTTCATCATTTATCCAGGAAGCCTTTGCACTTTTCTAATTGAAGTATAGTTAACATACAGTAATATATTAATTTCAGCTGCACAACATAGTGATTCAACATTTATATACAGTATAAAATGATCACCATAATAAGTCTAGTTACCATCTCTTACCATACAAAGTTGATACGATATCATTATCTGTATTACATGTACTATACCTTACTTCCCCATGACCTATTTATTTTATAACTGTTAGTTTGTACCTCTTGATCCCTTTCACCCAGTCCCAAACCCCCTTCTCCTCTGGCAGCCATCAGTCTGTTTTCTGTATATATGCAGCTAGTTTTGTTTTGTATGTCTGTCAGGTTTAATCCGATTGGTAGTCAGATGAGGGGATCCCTGGGTGGCGCAGCGGTTTAGCGCCTGCCTTTAGCCCAGGGCGCGATCTTGGAGACCCGGGATCGAATCCCACGTCGGGCTCCCGGTGCATGGAGCCTGCTTCTCCCTCTGCCTGTGTCTCTGCCTCTCTCTCTCTCTCTGTGTGTGTGACTATCATAAATAAATTAAAATTAAAAAAAAAAAGAAAGAAAAAAAAAAGGTAGTCAGATGAAATAGGCTCCGCAAAAGTGGTCGAAACAGGCTTTTAATGGGACTCAGGCTTTTATTGGGACTGGCTCTCGCTCTCCACTCTCTGGTGAGGTTCTGTGGCCTGCAGGGGAGAGAGAGAGCGAGAGAGCAGGGAGTCTCCCGTGGGGAAGTTGCACATAGGGGAGTGTAAGCAGGCTTTTTAAGAGGGGAGGGGTAAGGGGTTGTGTGTCTGTATGGGGTGATAGGTATTAAGACATATTACTGGTGAAATCAGTATGGGGGATAACTGCTCATGCCCTTTTGTGGGGTCTGGGTAAAGTACAGTTCAGGTTTCCTGCATAGGTCCAGTCTCCCCCTGATGTCTGTCTTCAGGCAGTCTGCTGGTGATGGGAAAGTTCTGAGGTGGGGGCAACAAGGTGGAGGGTCCGCCCCCATTTTGTTGGTGCCTCTCGATCCCCCTTGATCCCGCCGGCCCAACAAGGTCCATTTGTTTTGTTTTTTTGATTCCACATGTAAGTGAAATCATATGGTATTTATCTTTCTCTGACTTATTTCGTTTAGCATAATACCCTCAGGGTCCATCAGTGTTATCATTCATGCCAAGATTTTGTTCTTTTTTAATGGCTGAGTAATATTCCATTATATATATGTGCCACATCATCTTTATCCATTCATCTATCGATGGACACTTAGGTTGTGTCCATATCTTAGCTATTATAAATAATGCTGCAATGTATACAGGGGTGAATATAGTTTTTCAAGTTAGTGTTTTCATTTTCTTTGGATAAATGCCCAGAAATGGAATTGCTGGATTGTATAGTAGTTTTTAATTTTTGCATTTTTTTAAGTTTATGCAGAACACTGGCCAAATTAACTATACACAGGGTCACAAACCAAGTCTCAGCAAATTTCAAAAGATTGAAATTGACTAAAGCACGTTTTCTGAGTACAATAGACTTAATCTGGAGATCAGTAATAAAAAGACAACTAGAAAACCCCAATTTTTTGGAAATGAAATTGCAGATTTCTAAATAACCCACAACAGAAATTAGAAAATATTTTGAACTCATTAAATGATAATGAAAGTGCAACATCAAACTTGTGGGTATGCAGCTAATGCTCGCTGTGTTTAGAAGGAAATTTATAGCCTTAAGTATGTGTAATAGAAAAGAGGAAAGAAAGGCTGAAAGTCAATTATGTAAGTACCCATTGCAAAAGCTACAAAATAATTAGCAAATAAAGTGAGAGAATGAGCATTTGGTTCCCTGAGGAGTGTGTGTGAGATAGGAGGATGACCTGGTTCTGTGTGGGAGGAGCAGGCTGTAAGGAGACTGGCCCTGGGGTCAGGCTCCCTCGATTTGTAGCTCAGCTTCCCAGTCCCTTCAGTATCTGGGAGACTTTGGGCAAATCTTTTCTTCCTGTGTATCTGCTTTCATATCCATATAATGGAAAGTAAGTTCCTACCCCCTGAGTTTGTTGTGGGTTTTAAATTAGTTACTATATGCAAATGTTTAGAATGGTGCCTAACACCTGATTATTTTGAGCATCTATGTCTCTGTGAGAGTGAGTCACATCTCACAGGCTCCAAGCCTGCATCTGCTGTGTTTAATGGTGTGAGCAGAGCTCCAAGTTCCACATGATGATAAAGTTCTGGCATTCCTGCAGATCCAGTTCCAACACTCCAGCCAACCTGTGCCTCACTTTTTTGCTGCTGCTTGATGGCCATGCCCAAGAGCCCTCTGAGCCCAGTGCTCTGGGAACAAGATGGCTTTCTACATGTGAAGGTGGAGGATGAGGAGGCCAGCCTCTCTGAGATCCAGGAATCTAGCCTTGGCCACACTGCCCACCCTGAGACTGCACGTCTTCGCTTCCGGCACTTCTGCTATGAAGAGGCATCCAACCCACATGAGGCCCTGGCCCAGCTCCGTGAACTCTGCCACCAGTGGCTGCAGCCTGAAGCACACTCCAAGGAGCAAATGCTGGAGCTATTGGTGTTGGAGCAGTTCCTGGGTGCACTGCCCCCCAAGATCCAGTCCTGGGTGGGTGCCCAGCTCCCCAAGAGTGGTGAGGAGGCTGCCATGCTGGTGGAAGGTCTGACTCAGGCATTCGACAAGAGAGGTGAGGGGGAACAACAGCACACTTAGAGCAAAGCCTGTACTGGAATGTAGGAGTGCAGGGTTTAGGCTTGGGGGCTCTAATGCACGCACTTGTCACCTTTGTACTTCACCCAAACTCTTTTATTTTTTTTTTTAAGTTTGAGAGAGAGAGAGAGAGAGCAGAAGCAGGGGGAGGGGCAGAGGGAGAAGGAGAAGCAGACTCCCTGCTGAGCCAAGAGCCCAACAGGCTCAGTCCCAGTACCCTGAGATCATGACCCGAGCCGAAGGCAGACACTTAGCCGACTGAGCTACCCAGGCACCCTTAGCTTTACTCTTAAGTATCTTCTATCCTCATTGGAGACAAAGTTGGCTCAGCAACCCAGGCTTATTTCTTATTAATGTAGAAACCCCAGGGGAGAATAGTAAAAGGTTCTTAGCCTGAACCCCACTGAACTGGTTGGGGTCTTGTATTTGCCTTTGGCTGACCAGATCCCAGGGATGGACATGAGCAAAGAATACCAGGCTGCTGGGGACTGGAAGCCTGTGGGGGTGAGGGTGACAGAAATGTCAGGTATGTCCCCTCTGCTGGTCTCTAGGATCTGTGTGAATCAGACCTGCCCTTAGCTAGAGTGGTCACTGTTGCTCTGGGGGACCCACATTTATGTCCCAGCCCAGGGAGGTTCTAGAGTAAGCAGCCATAAGACAGTTAAGAGCAGGGAGTGAAGGCTCCTCCCAGAAGGACCTGGCCCAATTTGGCCTGGCCTGATGGTAGCAGATAGTGTGTGTATGCCAGGACCAGGGAGAAGGCGTGCTGTGGGTAGGGGGAACAGAAATATCATCAGGGTTTGGTAGATCCAACCACTGCTCCTCTCCCTCCTGGCCACATGACTTTCTTGTGCCTCAGTTTCCCTGTCAATAAAATGGGAATTGCAGTCATAATACCTATTCAGCGTCATTGAGAGGCGTAAATGAGGCATTACCTGTGCAGCACATGAAACAGTGCCTGGCACAGATTAAACACAGTGGAAACTGTAGCTATTAGGATGATTTCTTTTTTTTTAAGCTCCTTGAAAAACAGACCTTTCTGGAGAGGTTGATCATGTTCCTTGGCCCTATCAGCTATGCATAAGCAGAGGTCACAGGGACAGGGAGAGGAGGTAATGACCCCATTCCCCTGCAGGGTCGAGAAATTTGTGAGAGAAAAGGCAATATGGCACTGAGACAAGGAGAAAGAGCTGGCAGTCCAGGCAGAGGGAATGGTGGGGGTAAAAGCCTCGGTGGTATGATATGGACCAGTGCATTCTGGAAAGAGCAGGTTGTACGATATTTTTGGAATAGAGGAAGAAAGGGGATGTGAGACCAAGCATGTGGCTGGGGAGGTTGGGTGAGAACCTCTGTGGGCTTAGAGGAGGAAAGCTGAAATCTACAGCTGAAATCTCAGCTTGGCCACTAGCTAACTGTGTGATCTCGTACCAGTTAGTTACGCAAGAACTTCCTTCAGCTGGGCCTTACTTTCCTTGTGTGAAGTTCAGTTGTTGCAGTATGTCCTGTGAGAGCAGACTAAAGCTGAAATGAGGCAATGGAAATTACCCGCTGTACTTGGAAACTAGCACATAACAAGAGCCTAGTAATGACCAGCAGCCTTGGGAGGCGAGCAGTATAGTATCCCTCTCTTCCAGGTGGGGAAGCAGGTCCAAGTGAAGGTAAGATTGCCCAAGGCCCCAGAGCTGGCTAGTGGCTGCTGCCCCCATCTCTTCCTGAATTCTGTCCAGTACATGATGCTATTAAGTGTCCGTAGGTGCCCTGTGCACCCATCAAGGGTCAGTTCAGGCATCTACTACCTCATTCACAACCAGTCTCCTGCCACCTTTTAACTACACTCTGCCTTCACAGCCATTTATAAAGAGTGGGCCCCAGGCCTCCTGGGGGCTTAAAGAGGCCAAGTGGGCATGTCACCCACTCACCCTCAGCAGCTGTTGTCTACTTAGGGCTCAAGGTAGAGTCGACTGGAGAAAATTGCACAGTTGTCAGCATCTGGAATTGATTCCCTCATTTAGCCAGTATTTAATGAACATTTGCAAAAAATCCTCAGTAGGCTGTCCAAACCCCCGGAGAAAGGTACTGCCCAGAGGGAGTGAGTACACAGGCACTGGGCAAGCACAAGCCCCTGTGCATGCTTACTTGCTCTCACTTCAACCTCAGGGTCTTCCTTCTGACTCTGGAGCCAAAATCAGCAGCCTTGAAGAATGGAGAATTTGGGGAGAAGGGAGGATTGGAACTTGTGATCCAATTTTCGATGGTGTAGGAGGGCAGCCCTATGCCCTTTTGTCATTGAGGATACCAAATGAGAAACTCTTCTTTGGAAACAGGCCCAAATGTCAGGAGTGTCTATGTCTCCCCTTAGAGAGTGAGACCTCAGGGCCCAGGCTGAGTGGGGGAAGCCCCGTGTGGAAAGAGTGGTGACGCTGTGGTTTGGATTGTTTCAGGATGGGACCTAGGAGCCAAGCTCTCAGAGGCAAGCTGCAAGCAGAGTGATTTGGAAGAGTCAGAGTCATTAAACAGGGCCACTGAAACCCTCATGAGAGGTGTTACCCTGGGACTCACCTGTGGTGATGCTTGTGAACCTGAGGGCAGCTCAGAGAGGCAGGCAGGACTCTCAGGGGAAATCTGGACAAAGTCTGTCCCCCAAGAGATGGATTTCAGGGAAACTTCAGAGCCTCACAAGGATGTTCTCACAGACCAACCTAGCTGTGAATCTGGTGCCTTGGGGAATAGTCCCAATGTGTGGCCAAATTTCACCTCACAAGATAAGACACCAGAAGAGAAATTTGATCCACTGGATGGCGATAGGACAGAGCCTCCATACATATACTCAGGGAGGAATTCTTCCAAGTGTGGTGAATGTGGGAAAACATTCCAGAACTCCTCAGCCCTTGAGACACACCAGAAGAGCCATTCTCGGAAGACACCCTATACTTGTAGTGAGTGTGGGAAAGCCTTTAGCCGGAGCACTCACTTGACCCAGCATCAAGTCATCCACACAGGGGCAAAGCCCCATGAGTGTAAAGAGTGTGGGAAGGCCTTTAGCCGAGTCACCCACCTAACTCAGCACCAGAGGATCCACACTGGAGAAAAACCCTACAAGTGTGAGGAATGTGGCAAAACTTTCAGCCGCAGTACTCATCTCACTCAGCACCAGCGAGTGCACACAGGGGAGAGGCCCTATGAATGTGATGAGTGTGGGAAGGCCTTCAGTCAGAGCACCCATCTGACTCAGCATCAGCGCATCCACACTGGGGAGAAGCCCTACAAGTGTGATGCTTGTGGGAGAGCCTTCAGTGACTGCTCAGCTCTGATCCGCCACCTGAGAATCCATTCTGGAGAGAAACCATATCAGTGTAAGATTTGTCCGAAGGCTTTTGCACAGAGCTCCTCCCTCATTGAGCACCAGAGGATCCATACAGGAGAGAAGCCGTACAAATGCAGCGACTGTGGGAAGGCCTTTAGCCGCAGCTCGGCCCTCATGGTTCACTTGAGGATCCACATCACAGTGCTGCAGTAACCAAAGAAAGCCCTTGGGACCCAGAATAACAACTTCTCCTCAGAGGCTCAACATTTAAGAGAAACCCTAAATTCCAAAGAACAAAGAATGGGATGGGTGATTGATAGTACCCTAAAATGATAAGGTGCTTAAGGGCAGACTCTGGGGCTATCTGGGAACAACTCTGCTTTTGGAGACCCAGATGGAGGTGCCTGATGAACACAAAGCTATTCAGGTCAGCTGAAGAAGTAAGCTTCCAGAAGGATCCTGCTTCTCTTCATACCCCATTCAGGTCCATCAGAGAAGGGACAGCTGAGCTGAGAACTTGTATTGGTCTTCAGAGCCAGGGCAATTAGGATGAAGTTTCTGTTGGGACTCAGTGGTCCCAAGATGCTCTGAGCAGACAGGCTCCAGCTTCATGTTCCCATGTAGCTGCTCTTCCTGCCTTTTCCTCTTTTGTTTAACCCAGGAGGGATGCTGGCCCATGCCCACCTCTGTGCCTTCACACATACTCTTTTACTCCACCTATTCATGTCTAACTCCAAGGCCAACCTGTGAGGCAGCCTGTTCTGTGAGGCTTTCTCCAGGCCCTCAGTCTCTCTCCCACTCTCCGTTAATCGAGGGTACAGCATGATATTTGCCCAGCATCTGTTTCTCCTTGCCCTCTCCAATATCCCACCAGTCATCAGCCCTGATGGTTTTATCAAAAATTCACCTCTAATCTGTCTTCTCTGCCATTTTCACTTCTTTGAGCTCTCATCTCCTCTCATCTGGATTACACCTGGAGTCTCCTACCTTCATTCTCTCCCCTGACTTCCTTCACTGTTTCATTCTCCACACCAGCCTCCAGGGGGTTCTTTCTGTAATCCAAACCTGATTGTGTCACTCCGTCATGGAAAGCTCTCCAGTGCATCACCTTCGGTGGCAAAGCTTCCTGAACGATTACAAGTATGCCGAGACATAAGTCTTTCTGAGCCCCAAACAACCTCTCCAGCTATAGGTGCATGTGAATATTGTCATTTTGCTGTGTGTGCAGTTATGTGAAAGTAGTTTCAAAATACTGTCCTTTAGGATATATGTCAAACTCTTTCACCTGCCATTCACGATCAGCCTCATCTACTGTAGTAGCCCCCACCTTCTACACACCAGCCATGTGGAATACTTGTGGTTCTTAAAGAAGCCATATTTTTCCTACCCATGTGCCTCTGTACCTATACCTGGAAACCTCCTCTCTCCCCCCACAACTCAGATGTTTCACGTCTCTCTCTCTAACAAAGCCTTCTCTGCCTCCTTGAGCAGACATCAACTTGCCTTCTCTGCTTTCAGAGCACCTCCTTAACTTCTCTTTAACTGCCTACCATGTTGTATTTACTCCTTGAAGAGCTTGAAGTCTGTGTCTCCCAAAGACACTGTGAGCTTCCAAGAGCAGGGGCCATGTCTTACTCTCAGTATCCATAGCACAGGATGCAATAGGCTCTGACCAATGTCTGTTGAATGAATATACTGGGACTGGTGCCTTCCTGGAGGCAGTCACCATGGTCCACTCTGGAACCTAATATATGTCTTTGCTGTCTCCTCAGCACCCTGCAGGACAAGAACAATCTGATTTTCCCAGAGCCCCAGCACCCAGACAAGCCTGGCATACCATGGCCTCAATAAAATGTTACGGTATTTTAAGTCTACCCTTTCTCTCGCCCCAGAATCCCCCTGGACTCAGTGGTTGCCAACATGCTGTTAGTGCTCTCTCTCTGCTCTCTCTGGCCTTTTCTCACAGTTCTATATCCTCTTTCAGGGTCCATGTCTGTAACTAGATGTCACAGCCTCTGTTCTTAACTGTCAGGGTGTTAGTCTTCATCTCTTTCTCTGATGATCCCACCATGTGTTAACCATTTGATCTGCCATATGGTTTTGTACTGTTCATCGTCACCATCTCTCCCTATGTTTCACCGTGTATCTTGGACTTGTTCCCTCCATGTCACAAGTAAACAGTCACACAGACCAACCAAGGAGTGAGGTTCAGAACAGGAAGGCTGAGACCCAGGGAAACCGAAATCTTGTGCCAGTATCTGAGAGAGTCCCCGATACACCTACACACAGGCAGACTGCCAGGTATAATGAGACCAAGGCTGAGAGACTCAGAGACGGTTGACAGATGTAGGGAAAAGCTCAGAGATGGTAGATACACATTCCTAGTGAAATGATCACACAGGCCTCCAACAAACCTGCAGGCAGTGGAAAAGATGTGGGACTAAAGTTAGGCTACAGAGCCCCACTCCTCCCCAAGGCTGCTTTTGGGACTTGGATAAGTGACTTCCTTGAACTTCAGTGACCTGCTCATCTGTAAAGCATGAATAAGATGACCTGACTTGTGCAGCAGCCAAACCAAGGCCTGGCCACCAGCTTGTAGCATCAATCTCCACCTCTTTCTGTCCCTATCTTCCTGCTCTTTGGCACTGAAGAACTGACTCTCCACCCCCTGGCACTCTGAGCATCTCCAGCACTCACTTTGTCACGAGATGTGTCTTCCCATGTTTATCTAAAGAGGAAGTCATGGGGGCAAAGAATCTTTATTAAGGATCTACATGCATTGTCCAGTCTGCTAAATATTATGTACATCATCTCACAACACTTAGGGTAGGATGACCATTCCCACTTTCTAGAGGAAGGGACTTGGGGTTGGAGAATGTGAGTGGCCAAGTTTATACTGCCAGAGACTGGAAGCATTGAGATTTGAAAACCTATCCAAATATGTCAGCAATTTCAATAAGCATCACTATATTCAACAAACCAAGGAAGACAAATATTAACATTAGATTTCAAATCCGGATATAATGTTCTTTAGAATAAACACATCTAAAGTGGAAAAGTTGAGGGTAAAGGAATAGAAAAGGATATACAAGGCAGACATGAATCTGAAGAAAGACAACAGAGCCATATTAATTTTGACAAAATAGATATAGACACAGAAAAGCATTAGTAGGGTCATAGATCACTATGTTTTTTTATAAAAAGAACAATTCATTAAAAGATGTGATAGTTTGAAACCAGACAGAAATGGATTGAAATGTGTTGAAATCATAGAAATGGATAAGACCATATGTGTAGTTGGAAATGCTACCACATTCTTTGTGATAACAGAATATTTGAAGAAATAATTACTAAAACTTTCCAAATTTGGCAAAAGTTGTCAATTTACAGGTTTAGAAAGCTCAGTGAACCCCAAACAGCATAATCTCAAAGAAACCCATACCTGCACATATCATAATCGAACTGATGAAAACAAAACATTTAAAAATTTTGAAAACAGTCTGTGGGGATCCCTGGGTGGCGCAGCGGTTTGGCGCCTGCCTTTGGCCCAGGGCGCGATCCTGGAGAACCGGGATCAAGTCCCACGTCGGGCTCCCGGTGCATGGAGCCTGCTTCTCCCTCTGCCTGTGTCTCTGCCTCTCTCTCTCTCTCTCTCTGTGTGACTATCATAAATAAATAAAAATTAAAAAAAAAAAGAAAGAAAACAGTCTGTGAAAAACTAAGCATTATATAAAGGTCAATGCAAAAGATTATGGGTTTCTTGTCAGAAATATTGGAAGCCAGAAGGCAGAGAAACAACATGTTTAAAGTGCTGGGGGGAAAAAACCCTGTGAATCCAAAATTGACATCAGGAAGGAGAGTAAAATACAGGATTCCTGGGTGGCTCCACGGTTCACCACCTGTCGTCAGCCCAGGGCATGATCCTGGAGTCCTGGGATCGAGTCCCACATCAGGCTCCTTGCTTGGGGTCTGCTTCTCCCTTTGCCTGTGTCTCTGCCTCTCTCTCTCTCTCTCTCTCTCTCTCTCTCTCTCTCTCATGAATAAATAAATAACATCTTTAAAAAAAAAGGAAAAAAAAAAGGAAGGAGAGCAAAATTAAAACATTTTCAAATGATGTAAAACTAACAGTCTTTTGCCAGCTGGCTAAAAGCGTTGTTTTGGTGGAAGGAAACTGATAACAGAAGGAAAATTGGAACCTTGGTAATGAAGAAAGAGTAATACATTGCAAATATTTGATCTTTAAGATACATGAGTGTTTTTTATAAAAAGATATACATGGCTGTTGAAAACAAAATTTATAACAGTGGAGTTTTCAGTGTATGTTGATATGTATATGACTACAACATAAAGAGGGGAGAGTATCAAAATTCATTCAGTGATATATTTGAGATCTGTATATTTTAATGCATATACATTATGTCTCAAAGATATAAAGTTGTCATATCACTAGGTTGTACAACTGAAACTAATGCAATATTGTATGTCAGCTATACTAAAAAAAATTGAAAAATAAAAGGATGAAGAAAGATATAATCAAAAAATGTTAGAGTGACTATATTAATATCCCAAGTAAACTTCAGAACAAGGAAAATTACCAATGATAAAGAGAGACATTACATAATGATAAATGTCAATCTACCAAAAAGACATAATTCCAAATATGTATGCATCTTAACAACAAAGTCCTAATATATATGAAGCAAAAAGAGAACAGAAGGGAAATAATAAATAAATTCATAATTATAATTGGGGACTTCTACACCCTTCTTTCTAGAATCAACAGAACAAGTAGATAGGAAATCAGGATACAGAAGAACTGAACAACAGCCACCAACTGGATATGATTGATGAAGTCGCCAGTATTTAAATATTGCCAATTATTTTTTTATGCACAAAGAAGTAATCTCCTATTACTTAACTAATACATACTTGTTTTTAAGCCTAAGAATGAGCTGTTACTGATGTTTACCGCCAAGAAATCAAGGATCTGTGTTTCCTGACGAAAGTGAAAAAGAACAAATTAATTCAGAAGTAAGTAGAAAGAAGGGAATAATAATGATACAAGTAGAGATCCACAAAGTAGACAAGAGACCCCAGAAAAAAATGAACAAATCCAAAAGTTAGTTATTTGAAAACATTAATACAATTGATAAACCCCTAGCTAGACTGACAGAGGAGGGAGAGAAGTTGGGGTGGGGGAGGACACAGTATCAAGCATGAAAGAGGTGACATAACTACAGACCCAGCGAGCATTGAAAGAATACAGGAATGTTGTAAACAACTATACCAGTAAATCAGATCACTCAGATGAGATAGGCAAATTCCTTAAACAAAATTTATCAAGTATTAGTTGATAATGCTAATACATACCCCTTGGTATGCCAGTACCTTAACGGCCAAGCTCTAAATGGACTGCAATGAGATAGTCCAGGAAGGTATTGGGTCAGGCAAAGGGCCTTAGATCTGAGGGGAAGGAGGAAAGAATAGAATAGCCCCACCCCTCCAACAGTTTCAATCTCCAGTGTGAGAGACCTAGCCTTTGGCTGGGGAAAGAGTCCAGCTCCACCAGCTGGTGGCTACTCAGTCCAGAAAACAAAACTACAAAATGCAGCCTCTCTGAAGTGCCTCCCAGTGTGAGGACCAATTTGGTCAAGGTGGGATTGGGTATGTCTGGAGCCTCAAGGTACTTCCCCAGACCCACTGGGGACCAGGCAGAGGTGCCTGGGGAGTAGGAGGCAACTTGAAGAAAGCAAAAGGTAATCTTGAACAATGTGGACCCAAGTAGCCAATCTTTGGCCCGTATATCCCCAGGATCCAACCCAGAGGCCATCCACCTTTAGGACCCCAGCCCACTTCCCTCAGCCGTGGAAGTACAGGCCCCTGCATCAGGGCTGCCATTAGCCAAGGACACTTTTTTTTTTTTCTTAAAGATTTTATTTATTCACGATAGAGAGAGAGAGGCAGAGACACAGGCAGAGGGAGAAGCAGGACTCGATCCCTGGACCCCAGGACCTTGCCCTGGGCCAAAGGCAGGCGCTAAACCACCGAGCCACCCAGGGATCTCCCAAGGACACCTTTTAAAGATTCTATTCACATTTATTGATTCCCAGGAGGAATTAGGGACAGTCCTCCAGCACTTCCAGGGGTAGTCCAGCCTCTAGCTGCAGCATGAGGGATCATAGCCAGACCGGAGAAAGCACTTGCCAAAGATACCATCAGCGGCCTGAGTCTGCAGCTTGATCAACTTCCTAGACAAATGTGACAAAAGAGAAATAGTAGGGGAGCAAGGCATCATGTGTGTTCCTCCCTAGTGAAATCAGGGAAGACCTCACTGAGGCCCCTCAGGAAGAAAGTAGCTTGTTCAGCTGCCGGCCAAGACCCGTCCCACACCTCGGCCTCCCTCCAGATGCTCTAGCTGACCAAATCACTCTGCTTCAGGGCCTTTGCACCTGTAATTTCCCTACCTGCAATTTCCCTCATAACCCCAGCACACTAGGCACACTAACCAATGTGTTGAGAGAAAATTCAGGGTAAGGGCCCTCATGATAAAGGGTACAATCTGGGCAAAGGCCAGAGGAGGAACCCAGCTCACAAAACCAGAGGAAAAGTTTACCTGCCACCTGGAGCTCCACTGGGTCACTGAGCTCAGACACAAAGGGGATGGGCAACCATGAGCGATAGCGGCAGCTGTAGTTGCCTACGTGCTGGGGCCCCACATAGGTCAGTACAAGGTCCGCTGAGGGGTGGGTGGCCCAGACCTGGGTTGAAGGCTCCTTTTTGCCTTCCCGCAACAGCTCAAAAGTGATGTGGGGCACGACTTCCGGCACCTGGCCCTTGCAGCGCAGGATGGCATCACGGCCAGGAATCATAGCCCCACTCCACAGAGCCTGGAGCTGTGGCCTGGGAGGGGGTCCTGGGTGGAGCAGTCAGTGGTCAAGTGAGGTCCTCTCCTCAGACAGCAGCTGCCCCAGCGCCCCTCTGCCTTCCTGCCTCCCACTAAGCCCAGTCCTGCTGGCTGCTCCACCCACCAGGAAGCTACCCTGTGCACATACCTTTCCCCCTTTTCCTAGTCCTGAACAGAAGTGGCTTCTCCTATTATCCTCCCTGTCACCCTCTTCCCCAAGATCTTGCATGTTGCCTAGACCTGGGCCTGCTCTGAGACTTCCTGGGGTCCCCAGCACTTGGCACTTTGGGCCTCAGGACAGGTGTGGAAAGAAAGAAATGGCCATGGGAAATGGTGTTCCTGGCCATGGAACAGGAAATAAAACAAATGCGAGGCATCCCCTAGTAGGCTGTGGGCAGCAGCCCAAATCAGCCCAAATTACGTTTGTCTGAAAGGTCTGCTACGCGGACAGGACTGAGGCCTGGAGCACTTCCCTTGGGCACCCTCCTTTGCTCATGGCTGCTCCTACCCCGCCAGCTCACCATCAATGCGCAGTTCCAAGCTGGAGCTTGGAGCAGAGCCGGCGAAGGGTGGCGCAGTGTCCTTGTAGACACAGCTGTAGTTGGCTGAGTCTACCACCGAGACATCTCGCAGCTGGAAGCAGGCCTCTGTCCCCTCGGGGCTCAGGACATGGTGCACTCGGCGCTTTCTGGCGACCTCGCTCACCAGGGCGAAGCGCAGGCCGGCCCGGGGTGCCTGACACCGCAGCTGCACCAGCGTGCCTGGCATGGGGTGTAGAGTCTCGGGCTCCACGGAGAGCTCCGGAGCTGGGAGTGTCTCTGCAGGGAGGACTTGGACTGATCCGGGTGCCAAGGGGGAAGGCTTGGGCCTCATACCCCATTCAGCCTGGTTCCTTATGCCTGAGAGCCTATGCGGGCCCCCTCTCTCCCTCAACTTAAAACTGCATCACCCTCCAGACCTCACCAGATACCTCACACACAGTCCAATACTATTCCTTATTAGTTCGTTTGTCCATGAAAACAGATGTGGGGAAGGGATTGAGTTTGTCACCAAGCCCAGGATGTGCTCCCCTGCAGGCCTGGATCCTCTTTTGGGGTCAGGCCTTCTGATCCCCGTCCTTGGCAGGCCCTGCAGCTGCAACCTGGCTGCCTTCAACAAACAGGTCTCCAGTGCCCATCTGGACCCGGGAGATAGAGGGGACCCCCAGGCAGGTGGCATTGCCTGCACAGCCTGTGGCAGACTTGTGTGTTCATCCAATTATTCTGATTGAAGTTGGTGAGCTAATTGTCTCATTCTCAGGGAAACTGAGGCCAGGTGGATGAATTGGGAATGGGCCCCCACCAGAGCCCTCCAGTTCCGGGGGACCCCTCTCTGGATCCCTCCTCCTGTTCCCCACCCCCAGAGCAGAGCACTCTTGCCCTCCCAGCCCCATGCCCACGTTCCAGCTTGGGGCTGCCAGGCTCACCATCACTCAACAGCAGCTCGACAGGCGCACTGTCGGAAGACCAGGTTTGCTGGCCACGCAGCTGATATCGGCAGGTATAGAGACCGCCAGACCCTAAAGCCACCATGTCCAGGTGAAAGGAGATGCGGTCTGGGTTGCTGGAGCTTCTGCGTACCAGCAGCTCCTCTTCTCCCTGCCGCAGCTGGAAGTCCACGCCGCTCAGGGGCGCCACACAGACGAGAGTGGCGTCGGCACCAGGGCGCAGGAGACCTGCAGACTCTCCCTGGAAATTCAGCTTGGGTGGCAACGGTGCCGCTGCAAGGCAGGGAGGGTCAGTAGAGCTAGAGTCCTGGAAACCCCTGCTGTGGGACTGTTCCTGAGAAAGCTATAGTCAGCCAAGCTCCCAGACCTCTGCCCTCCCTGCAATAGCCCCCTGCAGTAGCCCCAGGAACACCCTTCTTTGTGGCCCATCCCCAACACCCCACCCCCACCCCACTTCGCAGGGCCACAGTGTCCATGTTTAGGTCAGGTGTGATCCATCCAACTGTGTGACCACTGTTTCCCCAACCCAGTTCTGGGCAAGGTTATTCAGGGTTGAGGGTGAAGGTAAACATAGCTCTGACTTCCAGGAGCCTCCTATCCCAGGAATCAGGTCCACACACTCACCCAGTTCCTCGA